AACAATTTACTTTTGTTAATTTTTTTTAGAAAAAAACAATTATTAAACGTTAAAAAACGTGAAACCTTGATTAATATATAAAAATATATACAAATTAAGTTATATTACCAGTGGGTGGAATTGTCGGCCTATCCGTGCAGTAAGGCAAAATATTTTTTTCACAATCTTAATTTACTTGCTTAAAAAATGTGGTGAGAATTTGGTAAAAATACAAAATGACAAAGAAAAAAACGTTTATTAAAAAGTTAACATCTATTCAGTAAATATTATAACTGTTTCCAACGTGGGGGGAAGTTAACTTTCAATTTATCCCGTTCTCGGGAACGGCAAAGTCTTAATTATATAAATATATATATGCTACGTGCAGGCTTTAGAGAACTTGCTTTAGAACAAGAACTTAGAATTAAACAGCAATTCGAGTCCCTCGAAAGGCAAACCATTCATGTTGCCTCAAAGCCAGGGAACATTTTACGCTGTGAAAACCAAATTCTTCGAAATTTCCCTTTTCACTGAGCCGTTCATCATCATATCAAACTATATCTTAAACATATTAAAAGAAAAAATTTGAAAAATATATTTCAAAATTTTGTGGTCCCGGCGATTTACAATTAACTTTAACACCATATAATATACAGCTAATATTACAAATATTTGATCATTTATATAAATGCAATTAATTTTTCCTAGTGAAAATTTCAAAACACTGATTTTTAAAGATCTTTGAGTAATTACTTCTAGAAACAAAAGAATACTTAGTACGATTCAACAAACGTAATAGTAAGAATTTTAAAATTTCATTTTATATTTGTTTTCACTTATTAATATTTTCTTTATTTATCAGTAATCCTAGTAATAATCGGGCGTGGCATAGATAACTATAAGGATGTAAGTTCGGACTAGGTTTTAGTTAGAAAAAAAAACTCCTTTGGATCATCACTTCTTCCGGAATCAAAATCCAATCAAAAAAGTGTATATTTTATTTTTAATATAAGCTAGCATATCTTCTGAAATGAGCATACGTTCTCTTTGGCTTAATTATTTCTCTCAATATTGGCTTAATTATTTCAACTTGAAAAGCTCGCTTCCTACCAATAAATAAATTATTTGGCATGTTGTAGTAATTTATATATGTATCTCTTCTTTTTTTCTTATATAATCGGCTCAAGCCCGACATACGGTTTATTACTGTATATAGAATATCTTTTTTTTTCATATTAGTTGTACACATATGCATATACTTTCTATCATATTGATTTACTGGTTAATAAATTTTTAAACAATTGTAGTTATTATACATTCATTTGTGGTGATTAGTGCCCGTTTATCGATGATTATTCGGAGATCTTGAGATGCGGTCTGGTGTGACGTAGGTTTTAAAAAATTATTTTCTTTATCATGCCAACGTTTCGATCTTTACTGAGATCATCTTCAGGGCTCAAAGTGTTTGTTTTCTGCGTAATTGTGCCATTCTTGTGTGTCGTGGGCCTCTGAACACGACACACATGAATGGCACAATTACGCAGAAAACAAACACTTTGAGCCCTGAAGATGATCTCAATAAAGATCGAAACGTTTTTTAAAACCTACGTCACACCTGACCGCATCTCACGATCTCCGAATAATCATTATACATTAAGATTTTGCTATGTTTATGTGAAAAGTACCTTCTCACTTTGACAGTTTGAAGAGAGAGAAAAATTAATTACAAAAAAAGCCACATTTTAAAAACATGGCATTTCCTTGGAATGAGTTCAACGTCATCACGAAACCGCCCTTAAACTTCCATAGTAAGCATTTATTCCTGCCATTTGCAAATTTTACGACACTCGCGGATGATATAGCTCGCCCAGTAAAACGTCACGTGGGCTTATCGTTTCTTTTGGGATTAGCCAGGATAATGGCATTGTCGAGCCCGTAACTAAATTTTACTGTGCTGTAGTATTGGATTTACCCGAGAAAAATCTACTGTTGGGCCCGCATTACTCCTCCTTTTTATCCAACCTTTTTTTCTCCTCCTCATCAATCGCAAAGAATATTATGGGATCCTTTCTTGAAGTGGCACTAGTTTTCGACCTCATGTAGCACAAGGATCTCCTGTACAAATTAAAGCGTGCCATTCCAAATACCTTTTTAATCGGCGGTTCTTTCGGGTCCGACAAGGATCAATCCCACTACTTTTCTCTGGCCGGGGGAGTACCGCAGGGCAGTGTATTTGGACCAATTCTTTATACTGCGGATATCCTAACTACAACTTGTACTCTCATTATTACTTGTACACTCAATTAATTAATTATTAATAAAATTAATTAAATTATTAAATAAATCCTTTTATTAAACCTGCTGTCATTAAATGATTAACTTGTGTTTGACAGCAGGGGGTTGTTCAGAGCCACAAAAAGTAAATTATACAAAATATTTTAACAAAATAAAATCTCCTAACAATAATACAAATATAATAAAAATAATACTATAATACAAAAATAAAAAACGTGTGAATTTTTAGATGTAATTTTACCAAACAGAAACAATCTTATTATATAATAATTAATTCTTATTTTATGATTATACAAAAATCTAAGGACAACCTTAAAGGAAAAATTGTAATATATCGAGATATTAATTCCAGGTAAAGAAGCATCCAACATTAGATTTCTTCTGGTAACATGTACTGAAGGTGATTTCAAAGCTATGATTTTATGTTTAAAACAACATATACAATAAAATATAATAAACAATGATTTAAATTCATTATGTGTATTAGGTACTACCAAATAAGACAAGGTACAGATCTTTCCTCTTTCTTCCTTGTCGGAGCTTGAGTATCACGAGGAAACATGATAGGTCCTCTCCTATGTACAATATTATATCCCTACTGATATCCCTCTAAATTGTAACCCATCTGGACCTACAAAATAGAACTGTGGGGCTCAACGAAACGCTCCAATTCAAAAATAATTCAGTCACTGCAGTCAAAAATTCTCCGTAATATCACCAGTGATCCTTATTATGCTCGGACTTTACCCTACACACCAACCTCCAAACTCTTTTTGTCAAAGAACTCATCCTTTACCATTACACAAAATTCTATAACTCCATAAGATTACACATTAACCCACTTGTCCAACAAATCTGCTACCTACAAAATCCCACCGGGTCTACTCGTTGTCTAAATGACAGTGGCCAATAACAACTAGGTTAGGTTGTCATTGGGCGACTTACTTTTACCAGCTTTCCCACCTTTATAATTTTGTATGTTATATATGTATATAATTTTTTTTTACTAACTGTTAATTCTGTTAATCAAAATACTATATATCATTTGTTTGTTGCATACAAATACAAATGCAGGACAAATTTTGTGCAAATAAAAAATAAAATTTTTGGAGTATAATAGTTTAATACAAAATTTGCCATTTTTCTTTAGAATTTCTTTAATGAGTGTATTCTGGGTGACCATAAGTTTAAGGTTTAAGATAACATTTTGTTGTATCCCAAACGATAATTCCGTAAACCAAAATAGATTGCCAGTGCAAAATAAATTGATTTCAATTTATTAATAAACTTGAAATTTCTCATCTCGAAATTTATGGAAAATTTATGTATTATACGAATAATGAAATCAACATGGAATTTAAAAGTTAAATTACAATAAAAACTGCTCCCAAATATTTTATTTTATTAGTAAATTGCAATAAGTCATGAGAGTGATCAATGGAGACTGAACAAGTATGTAAAGCAATTCATACTTTGAGATCAACTTTCCTTCTAAAAATAAGAAACGAATTACAACCTTTTTATTTTATTAACTAAAAAATATTATTAGGAAGCCATGAATTCGCAACTCTTAGGTCTGTTTTTATAACAGGCAACACATTTAAATCACCTACAGAAAAATTGAGATCATCAGCATAACTAAAAAGTTTAGCAGATAAATCAGGTTATAACAAATTATTTACAGAAATAAGAAACAGAATTGGCCATAAAATTTACCCTTGTGATATTCGAGAAAAAATTGATGAAACACTAACAAAAGAAGCAACTCTAGTAACTTGAATTCGATTTGAGAGGTAAGAACTAAAAAGTTTGGATATTAACACTAGAATTACCCATATCTTTTTTACAATAACTCATGATCAACTGAGTCAAATGCTTTACTAATGTCTAAAAAGACCCCAAAAACCTATTTCAAGTTCATTTTTAATGTGTGGTGATTAGTGATCATTAGTAGATAATTATTCAGAAATCGTGAGATGCGGTCTGGTGTGATGTAGGTTTCAGAAAAACATTTTCTTTATCGTGCCAACGTTTCAATCTTTATTGAGATCATCTTCAGGGATCAAAGTGTTTGTTTTCTGCGTGTGAGAGACCTCAACACCTCAACACGACACACAAGAATGGCACACTTACGCAGAAAACAAACACTTTGAGCCCTGAAGATGATCTCAATAAAGATCGAAACTTTGGCACGATAAAGAAAATGTTTTTCTGAAACCTACGTCACACCAGACCAAACCTCATAATTTCTGAATAATTATTCATTTTTAATATGTATCGTGACATCAAACAAAGCCAACTCAGTTAATTTATCTGGTAAGAAGCAATATTGATTTTCTGCTATATTTTTTTTTATCACTGGATTCGAACCTGGGACCTTTACCTTACAGTGATGAGCGCCTTGTCAACGCCTAAACCTTTGTGGCCACCAACACCCCTGCTATAATATTATTATTAATTCAAAAATCAAGTAACCTTGTCTTAATGCATTTTTCTAATTTAGAAATGAAAAAGACAAAGAAATTGATCTATAATTGTTAATGTCCAGTTTAGAACCGTTTTTAAATAATGGAATGACTAATGCTTTTTTTAAATTTGACGGACAAGCTCCCAAAAGATAACAAACCAATTAAAATTCCTCTAGTAAAATTTTGAAGAATTAGTATTAAAGTCTTTTTTTTTATTTCTAGTACCAATTGATTAAAAAAATTCATTAAAAAAACTGATATATTATTTATTTACATAGAATCAGCATATGCAACAGAAACGGCTAGACTTCAAATTTCAAAATAACTAATTTCCTTTTCTTAAAGTAGGACTCTAGTAAACTTGCATATCAATTATTTTTACAAAAGCTTTGAATATTGTTTGAGTGTAGAGTACAACAGAAAAATATGATAACTATAAGTGGTATTACCTAAAAAATAATATAAGTGCTAAAATAATTAAAGGATGGATGACTCAACCAAGACAACCTAATTTGAAAACTGTTTATAGAAAGAGAATTGAAAGCAATATTAGTGTCTTCACATGCACTCTTTATTTTTTCCTTAACCAACTTGGGATTCTGGGTACACCATCTCTCCCACTTTCCTCAAACATTTTGCACTCAATCATCTTTTGTAAAATAAGATTGTTTCCCCACCACTAGTTATACTTGAGATAAAGCATTATCTTTTTAGAATTAAAAAATCCTGTTTAAATTGTATTGGACTACAGTGGCCAAGCTAAAACAAAGAGAGCTCTTGCAAAAGAATGTCCAGGTTCACAATAATTTTTACATTCATCGGTGGGTAATTTTTAGTGGTATTAAATAAATGAAATAATATAATGGAGTATTATAATTCCAGCATGTTTTATGACACTTTTCAAAATAAAATGTGATGGCATGCCACAATTTGAGGTTTGAGTCAGTATAACCAAAATATTTCTGTGTTATGAATGTTCAATTTTTCAGATGTACATTAAAGGAGGAAATGCACCAATGTGTAGAGCGTACATCATCGGCGATTTCTGGGCGCTTACAACAAAATTTTGTGTTTTGAAGTATTATACTAATATTACAAGTTTTGGAATTTTTTTTCCATTCAATTTTCATGAGTTACAATTTTTTTTAAGCAAAGATGTCAACTCGTTAGCACTGTTTAATTTTGCTGGAGCTATATTTCACCCTGTAAAAAACATGGATACTACAGGCTCTAAATTCTCACACCTGGACATTGCTCTTCTCAAGGTATAAAAAACACAAATACAATAATTTATTACTTAATATGTTTTTCTCCAGGTAGAAAAATCAATGGTAGAGCAAGGTATGGTGGTAATATCGCCTGATATGCCTCAAGAAGGTGCTCAGCTGTACGAGTCGGTAAAATTGATTAACACTACAGTAATCAGCTATGACAACTGCACAAAAATCTATGGCAACTTCTCAGGGACATTCTGTTCTACTCAAAATTCAATTATACAGCCAGTAAGTTTAAATTTACAAGAAAATTCTTTATCATTTTAACAAATTTTAAACAAATTCTGCACCCTCAAGGCAAAGATAAGTAAAAAAAAAAGACAACTTTTCAGAATTGCGATTTTAAAGTTTAGACCTTTCGTTCGAATTCAATCTGTGAAGTATTTTTATTGTGATCTTATTTCACAAAATTGTTGTCAAAGTTATTTAATTATATCTTGACTTTTTAGTACTTATCACATTATACGCTGACAATTATCTCATTTTTATCATGAATTTACACATTTATTGGTAAGTTTTTAGAATTCTATCAATAGGAATAAGACATGTTAAGCATACGATCAAGACGCTTGGCGGATAAAATAAAATGGTGACCATGGTAGCCAAGGGGCATCCGACTCATATTTGCCTCATTTGCAGTCGAATCCCGGCAGAACCCATAGATTTTTATTGGTGAATACTGTAGAGAAATTAGAAAAACATTTTCTTTATCATGCCAACATTTCCAATATCTCACTAGCACTCTCAACACAATACACAAGAATGACATAATTCCGCAGAAAACAAACACTTTGAGTGAGTACAAATACTTTGATTGAATATAAAATTTTCTAGCATTGTATAAATTCTTTTTCACATCCTACATGTATTTGTAAAATTTAAACAATGTTTATAAATCCCAGGACCTGAAGATGATCTCAATAAAGATCAAATCATCGATCTTCAAATAATCATTAACTAACGGTCACTAAACACCACATTCAACACACTATAGAAAAAGTATCGTAAAGCAGTTTGACCCCCCCCCCATCAATGACACCCGATGGGTAGTTAAACCCTCCTGTATAACAGGATAAAATTCGATAAGTGAAGTTGCAGTAATTCACTTGTTACCATGAAACATAGTAATATGCTAATATAAATAGATAAAAATGCATATCCCTTTGTTCCACCACCGAAACAAATACTCAGGTAAATATAGTTATTCTATTTCACTACATACAAGTGGAATGACCCTCAGGGTGCCTGTTTTCAAGGGCAGTTTTCTTCTCGACTTAATCATTTATACAGCCTGTCAGGCCTAAAAACTGGAATATTCCCTCATCTCCTTTTACCAAAATTTGACTTTGAATTGACGTTTTGCTCCGAGCGTGCAAACTTAAAACAAAAAAATCAAGTCCTTATCCAACTTTTACTTCTTTATGTCCATTATTTTCTTCATAGTAATAACTGCTAAATATTGCCTAGTATTCTTTGCAATGAATTGTCTCAGTTCCTGCCCCTTTGAAAACATAATTATTCCCAAAATGGAAGTGATTTGGTGATTTTTTAAAAATATTTTTAGAGCCTGGTTTATTTTGAAATTATTGAACAATCATTTCATTACAATTAATTAATGTTTTTAGTTGAGGTAAAAAAGTCAATGGCACGAGCGGGATTCGAACCGACGATCTTCGGCCAGATACGCCGCTGCTCTACCACTTGAGCTATTGTGGGTTTGAATCCCGTTTATGCCATTGACTTTTTTATCTCAACTAAAAAACCTTAATTAATTGTAATATATTAATTGGTCAAGTGGACCACAAAATTAGTGAATTTAATGATTTAAAATGAAGTATACTTCACTAAACCTCTCCATCGCCATTTCATTTGTCGTCAAGAATCCAATCCGATTACACGACATTTGAAAAATGGCAAAAAGGAGGAAAAATTCAAAAGGTGGGGTTGAGATGGGAAGTTGTAGGCCGAGTGGATCGAGGTTACAATAGAGCTCAAGTGGTAGAGCAGTGGCGTATCTAGCCGAAGATCGTGGGTTCGAATCCCGCTCATGCCATTGACTTTTTTATCTCAACTAAAAACCTTAATTAATTGTAATATATTAATTGGTCAAGTGGACCACGAAATTAGTGAATTTAATCATTTCATTTATAAATTCAATTGTATTTACTTGCATTTATACTTACTTTGACAAGAAGAAAAGTTAAACGAAACTTGTAGTGTGGAAGTCATGATCGTCTCGTCGTCCTAGCTGTTTTGATCAGTACTTCACAGGTTTTGAGCGAAATTGCACTTCTGTAGATGGCGATTTGCTTGAATGCTTTTGAAAACCAATAAAACCAAAAATAGGCCAACTAAAATGATCAGAAATGTTCAAATTACAAATTCATCTATGTATAAATCTCACAAAGTATGTTTAATAAATATGAATTATCTCTGCTTATGTAATGTTCTTTTTTCATACAGAGCAGCGGCTTGTTTGAAAATGGTATGCTGACAGGGATATCTATCTCATACGGGAGAGTAACCAATTCAGTATCCGCTGCATACGTAACAAGCTGGATCCTCGATACAATGAGTGAAATCAAGCAATAGATTTTTTTTTAGTTTAACTTTTTTTTAATGTAAACCTTTATGAATAAATTTGTGTTTATAACAACTTTTTTTTTTACATGGATATAACCATATCCAAGATGTATATTTCAAACAATTCCTTATAATTCAATTTACAAATTTAAAATTTAAAAAAAAAACATTCCGTTCTAAATTCTTTCTTCTAAACAATCTGGTGTAATAATATAAATTGATAAATGACGATTCAACAATAAATAAAAGAATTTTGTCTTATTAGATAAAACACACTGCTGTACTAAATTTAATTAGAAATTCTCAGATTTAGATTTTCATTTAACAGTTTAATAAATTAAAGCAGAATAGAATGCCTAAAATGAATACGATATAAAATAATAACATGAAATATATATACAGATGTACAACAGCCACACATTCAGTCTATTTAAGCAGGAATAAAAATGTCACAGAGAATTGACTTTTTAAGTAGAAACTGATAAACATTAATAGCAAATAAACATGAATTACATATTTACATAATATATAATGCATGTATATTCTTATATTTTGTTCATTTTTCTTTAATCTAACACCTAATCTCAGATAGCTATTGGTGGCACTTCCTATTATTAGTTTTCCTCACCTTTTTTTCAAGTAAATGATGACATTGCTACATTTTAATTTAATTCAATGTATATAATACAAAATAAAATCAAAAATATAGTGCTTTAGATGTTATCATTTTCATCATATCTGTTTGGCGAAGAAAAACGGCCTTTATCTTATTTATTTTCGTTTTTAAATCTTCCCCTCTCCCATTTTTAACGAAAATGACTTTATGAACCCATTTTAAAACGTAAATTTTAAAATTTCCCCTTAAAACAACAATGAAAAAAGTCTTTGAGGCACCGAACCTTTTTTTCCACCCCTGCTTATTTGTTTGATAATATATTCTCTTTTCATTTGCATTTTTTTTCAGCCTGTTTTATTTTTTTTTAATATTTTCAATGTTGTGTACTAGTAACACTGGAGTTGTCAATTAGCCCTTGAAGCCCCTTCTTCTCTATGTAGCGACGCCTCGCCGCTTCAATCATCTTCGCTTTCCTTTCCATAAACGAGGCCATTCTGTCTTGAGAAGAACGTGAAAATATGGAATCACTCATTCTTCCACTTGTCTAAAAATAAAATTTTCTTTAATAATTTGTTTTTTTTACCGATTTTTGTAAAACCAAGTACAAAAAGGAAATGACATACTCCAGAAGCTGGCGAAGGTGTAGTAGGTGGCCTGTGCACGACTGTAGAAGAATGCCCGTGTGTCAAAGGCGTGAAAGTAACAACGCCTTCGAGAATGTTGGATATAGTTACATCAACAGATCTTGTCCGTCCTGTAATAAATATGGTATTTAAAAAACTTAAGATACTTTAAAGTTAAATATTACAAACCTAAATCTCGTAAAATCACATCTCTAGGTACGTTTGGCAACACTTCGGAAACTTGAGTTGCCATGCGTAGTAATTCTGGAGATGGCTGTCGCACGTTAGCAAAAGGAGGAAGGACAAGTACACGCTGGTTTAACTCATCCAAGTATCGTTTTTCATATTCTGCCTGAACGACAATTAAAGTTTAATTGCAAATGACATTATTTACTGATTTTATTTTTTTTCTTTTAACTTACTTTATCACTAGCAGTATAAGGTGCAGTTTTGTATGACAAAGCGGTAGCGATTTGTGTTCTCATTCTTTCTGTAAAGGCATCATCAGTTTCGTCCGGTTTCCGAGTTAAAACATCTAAATACCTGAAACGACGAGAAATAAACTATTCAGCTCGAGTTAAACAAGTTTGCAAATAATTACTTGATTTTAAAGACAGTGTGTGGTGAGAAGAGGAACCAGAAGAAGTCCAAAAACGCTGAAGAGCCCAGAACCGTAGGGGCTGTGTTGGCCCATATAGACCTCTCTGTGAAGACAGCCACCGGCTGTACCCTGTTACAGAGTTGAGCAGCAGTTGTTTTGAACCTAAATCAAAACAATAATTTAGCCACACAAAAAATTTACAAAAAAAAAATAAAAAGTGTGAATGTACTTGAGTAAACATTCTTTTCCAGAAGTAGTTTCTTCAGGCTGAATTAAAACTGGCCTGTCATCTTTATCAATCTGTGCTCGAAGGCTCTGTATTAAATTATTTCCATCATGGCTGAAATCGTGCAGGCCCGGGATTATGCTCACAGGCAAAAACCCTTCCCATTTTGTGTGCTGAGGAAACAAACATATATTTAGCAAGTAAACATCACTTTCACACACAAAAAATTGACAAACAATTGAAAGCGTGCATTTTCTATTTTTTTTTAGCGTGGCACAGAACCTGACTCTTTTTGATTGCAAGTCAGTTAAAACAAACCATAATAACAGTTATATTTCCAGCATCATAGTTTTAAAGTCCAAATGTACTAAAACATTTTTTTTATTTTGTCTAGGAAACCTGAAAAGTAAGTAAAATGAAAGACCTTTAATTTAGGTCGATAATTCTGTGGATAATCGGTAGCCTAGACTTCTCTAAATTAATATTCTTTGGACCATACAAGACAGAATAGAATAAAATATTTTATTTTTACATATTGGAGGTAATTACTGCTGCAAACATCAAACCACCAAAATTATATAACAGTTTATACATTAAGTGATTAATTGAAGAGGTAAGAGAGTAAGGTCAATGAACAAAATTACAAATCACAAATTTTATTTTATTTGTTATTATTATTTTTTTAAGAACATTTACTAAATTGGTGAATAAAATGTAAGTTATTGTTATTAATACAATCATTTTCTTGTTTGAGTATTTCATTTCATTTCTTCTCGATGTTGGTCTTTATTTTATCAGAACTTCATAGAAGAAGACACACAAGAGGCGATCAAGTTGAAAATAGAATATTTTTTAGTTTTTAAAGTGTCTGATCATCCTCACATCTATATCATTCTAAATTTAAACAATAAAGATGATTAAGAAAGTATATAACGAAAGATATTTAAAAATATACAGACGGCAGTTATTTGCATCAGAATATTTTGCCGTATGAAGTTGTAAGAAACAGGTCATTTGAGTTCATTTAAGAGTGGCTTAATGTTAAAAAAGTTAAATCATACAACAAAAAAAGGGTAGTAAGAGTTAGGTGCTTCTAAATGCCATAAGGTTTTTGTTTGATTGTAAGGGTTTAAAATAAATATTCAGAAATCGTGAGATGCGGTCTGTGGTCTCACGATTTCTGAATAATTATCGACTAACGGTCACTAATCACCACACGTTTAAAATAAAATAAAAAATTCTACATGAATTTTACACCAACAATTGTTAATATAGAATGATTATTTAGAGATCGTGAGATGTGGTCTGGTGGGATGTAGGTTTAGAAAAACATTTTCTTTATCTTGCCAGTGTTTTGATCTTTACTGAGATCATCTTCAGAGCCTGGAATTTGTAAACATTGTATAAATTATACAAATACGTGTAAGATGTGAAAAAACGAATTTATACAATGATAGAAATTTTAGATTCAAAGTTTTTGTACTCACTCAAATGCTAGCATGAAAAAGAAAATGTTTTTCTGAACCTACGTCACACCAGACCGCATATCACGATCTCCAAATAATCATAAATTAATGAACACTAAATACCACACGTTAATATAGAATTTTATCATTGTTTCATGAATTCAGTCAATGACAAACAAGACACAATTTTTGTAAAATCCAAATGTCACAAATGACATCCGACTACATTTAAATCATGCTGAGGCAAAATTCAGACTATTAAACTTTCCCAGGATGTGTATAATAGAAAAAATAATTGATATTTATAATCAATGATGTACTATCAATATTAGGAAAATAGCAAAGATGAATTTATCTGTCCAATATTTTCGAATGACAATATTTCAATTCAATTAAGTACGGGGAAAATTGAAACTGATATTACCATCAGAAACACCATGTTTACAGAAAGTGTCCCAACTAAAGAAAAGTTAGGTATGAGTCTACAATACACAATTTTTTTTTTTTTAATTTCAAATCAAGTATAGTATTTGATCTTTGTGAATATTTCAAATCAAATTAAAAAATATATCAATGAAATTATAAATTGTGATTAATCATAATATTAATAATTTATTAATTATATGTAAGAGGGGGGCATTGGTGGCCGCAACGGTTTAGGCATTGACACGGCTCTCATCCCTGTAAGGTGAACCCCACTTACAAATGGGCTTTTTTTCAAAAACACCGGCACCTTGAGTGTATATGACCTCTGCTGTTGCAAACCCTCGTTTAAAAAAAAAAAAAAAGTAAGATTAGATTATTTATCAAGACTAATTATTTATTAAAACAAGATTAATTATATTCAAAAATTTTGATAAATTATAGTTCAGAGAAACAACACTGTGGGACATTTGCATACACCGTTGTGGCAATGTTGTATATCACATATGGAGCGTGCCATCATCAGCAAAATATTCTCGCCGGCAAATTGTTGACTGAACAGGCTTGGCATATGAAAGTGTTGACCGGTGACAGAACACACTAACGAGTGTTTTTTCATGTTATTGGTACTAATAATATATTTTTGCTTTTGTCTGTACAGTGACACTAGTGACAGTCCTAGTATGATTATGAAACTAGTAGGAAAAAACCTTTATGCCGTCCTTGATATGGGGATTATTTTTGACTATCTATTTTACATGTACACTCTACTTTTACAAGGGTACTTCAACTATGAGGTTATATGAACCGTCAGGGTGGTGTTTTTAAAAAAAGCCCATTTGTAAGTACATTGGACCTTACCCTACACTGCTGAGCGCCGTGCCTTCAACTGAACGGTTACGGCAGTATCTTATAATATGCAGTATTAATACGTTATAAGTAATGAGTTTTTTTCCCTTGGGGTGCCGGTGTTTTTGAAAAAAAAAAAACATTTGTATGTACGTCGGGTTCGAATGTAGGGCCGCTGGATTCAAACCTGGGACCTTTACTCTACAGTAATGAGCGTCGTTTCAACACCTAAACCATTGTGGCCACCAACACCCCCTAGAGTTTATTTACATATAACAAAAATATTTTCTCATTTACATAATTAAATTATATATTTTATACTAATTGAGTATAATTAATGTTAATAAACAAGTATTTCTCTAAATTGTCTTCTGTGAAATAGTGCCTATGGTCACTTAAAATTTGTGAGAATATTGAATACTGAAATAAGACCTAAGAAGGGGTTCTATATTCTTTTGTCAGTATTTCTAGAATCTTCTCTTACCGTCGTTGCGGCCTATTTCAGTTTTCTTTGAATTACAACAACTTTTCGTCAACTTGTTATTTTTTACAGATTGTTTTTATGCTTCCCCAAAAACCAACATAATATTTTAATGGGTTTGGGATCTGGTTTCTGGTCAGGTAGAGAAAGAAGTAGATTCTGTGATCACTTGTCAAGCTTTCGGCCTTTGTAAGACCTATTCTCAGAATTACCCCCTATGCAAAACGTTTTCTTTATCGACTGGACCTGCATTTTGGGGAGACCACTATCCTTGAAAAAACTGAAAAAACTTGTCTTAATTTCAACTTAACCAACTTCATGTTATTCGAGACCACGTAGTCAATGTTGTCGGGGTTTTTTCATCATTCTGTAATGTTAATATGAGAAATAGGATGCTGCCCTGATGTGGTCTTATAAAGGCCGAAAGTTTGGCAAATGATCACAGACTTCTTCCTCTACCTGACCAGAAACCAGATCCCAAACACATTAATCATCGTGGTCAATTTCTTAATTATAATATTTTAAATATTTTGCACGATAAATGCAATTTTATGTAAAAAAAAGCCTTCAAATATGTAATTTTATGCAATATTCATCAAATATGCAAAAATATTTTTTATAAATAACCCACAGCTTCCTAGATACATGATTCAATAGATAATTGATTTCTTCGGTTGTATATGGTGGCGAACAAAATATGTAACTGTATAAAAATCCGTTCTCTAATAATAACACTTTAACAATACTCACAGTTACACAGCCTGTCAAAAGGTGGAACGCGATGTGATCGAATCTCGTGACACAGTTTGAGACGATCACTTTGGCCGATTTGTCCCGTTCTTTCTTGTTATCCTGCTCGACGTTCACACCCAATACGAGGCAGAGCATACGCAGCACACAACTGCAAACAGAAACGGTTCAGCGTCCCAGCTGATCGATTCTTAACCGTCGAGGTCTTACCTTCTTATCAAAGGCGTGTGGGTGAGAAGGAGTCCGACCAAGCAAGTATGGAGGCAGATAAAAAATCTCAGTACAAAGATTACAAGACCGAACGGGAAGTAAACAACTAATAATATAAACTGCCAATTGGACTTGGGAAATCTGAAAAAAAAATGGGTCGCCAGTTAAAGCAAACACAGTACAAGAAACACTTCTTACCAACTGTGAGATTCATTGAAACGTTAAAAAACGAGTCGACGTACCTTTCTTTTTCGAATACATCCTTCAACTGCAAATTGGCCCCGATTGCCATTGTATCATCTAAGAGAAAAAGAGCCTCGGTTATATAAAAATGACTAAACAAGGTGGGGGAAAATGTCGCTGAGTTATGGCCGAGTATGAAACGGGCCCGAATTTAAAACGTTACATAAAAATGAACCGTGGAGGAGAAGAGGAAAAATTCGAGAAGAGAGAAGAACAATGAATTATGTACGGGAAGGACTCGAAACGCACAGCTGTTCATACTTCTCAGTTCTCACCGTGGTGCCTGTTCACAATTCCTGTTCTGCGACGTCAGTGTCATATGGCGCAACCCGTCCTTTCCCGCTAGATTCTCACATATCTCAATTCTCACAGACAAACCCAAAATATTACGAATAGTCTGTAAAAATAAGAAAACCGACTGAATTTGTTAACACAAGCTAATCAATAGCAAAATAAAATCAATTTCGTTTTAAACATAGGAATCATTCCATATAATTCACTTTGGAAATACAAATTTATTTCTCTGACAATAAAATTTAGACTATTCAAAACTCTTGTTTTATCTTTTCTTACTTATTGCAATACTATCTACTCTTTTTCACATAATCACACTTCTACTAAAAAAATTGAATACTTTTTAATAATTGCTCATTATTGGCATCTTAGAAAGCATCTATATATTGACCTATCTACTCTATTTCATCTTCCTCTCATCTTAGGCAACTTTTTCAAATTAGGTCACTTTCATCCCGCAGAGAACAAATAAATCTTATTTTCCTCCATAAAATCCTCCATAGCACCATCGACTGTTCAGACCTTCTTCATTCTATTTCCTTCAATGTCCCAAATTATACCACTAGATCCTGCCAAACCTTCCACTTTCCTTTCCAGAAAGCCGATTTTTTCAAGTTCACTGGAATTAACAGAATATTGAAATCATCACATATAACTGCACAAGATTTGTATTAAGTTTACGAAGAAGAGAGCACATCTCAACACATGACAGTTCATTTTGGGTGTTAATTTACTTGATTACCTTAACCTACGATCTCTTATTTACTTATTTAAAATTAAAAATAGATTCTCCCCATCGTACTTATTCGTTATATTCGTTTAAATACTATGGAAAGCTTGTATCATAGATTGAAATCTATGAATAATTCATTTAAAGATGCTGGGGGGAGGGACGTCTGTACAATTCCCTTCTATGGCAATTTTTTTTTTTATTCCCACTGCGACCTAAACAGTCTATCATGGAACCCCTACAGCTTATGCCCATACCTTGGAAAGTGCACTCCAGGTTCTTATAACACTGAGCACTTTCCTTAGTTCCTCTTCATGGAATTCCTTGGGTGTGAAAAATGTCCTACTAAAGTGGCTGTACCATAAACAGTTTTACTTTTGCAAAGGATATGAGCCAATGTCTCTGGCTCCTCCTGGTAGAGCCGGCATGTTTCCGTCTCAGCCTTGCCCATCTTAAAGTGATAGTTAAGAGGGCACGCCGATGTAGAGGCCTATTTTTCTTTTTAATCTTTTTTTCTCTTTTTTTATAAATTTTCTCAAATCCTTCCTGCTGGGAGAAAGAAGTTCGCCTTCTGTTTTTAGATGTTTATAAATCTATTGTAGCTTGTCTCATATGTGTACTATTTGCCCAGTGTTTGAGTTTTTTTTCTCATTCCATTTTTCCAGTCCCTGCTTAAGCACACTCTGTAGTAGTTAGTTGTGGTTCTGGTCCCATGGGTGAGAGGGTTGCACCTTTTTTGGTTAGGTGGTCAGCCTGTTCATTTCCTTCTATACCTTTATACATGGAACCCACTTTAAAGTAATATTATTGTGTTTTCCTAGAGACATTAAGCAATTTCCACAGCATATTAGGTCAGCCCACCCCATTCGGGCTTTCAAGCGTGAAGCTTTCAACTTATTTTGCAAGCAATCCTTGATTTGATTAAACTGACAACATGATCTTGCTGCTATTCTCTTTTTCTTCTCTCTTTTATGCTTTCCCTTTATATCTACTTCTCTCCTTCATCCATATTCAACTATTATATATATGTTATATTATATTTATACAAATTTTGTTTATAATTTTTTTCTTGTATTATATTTTGTAACCTTTTCATTATTTTTTTTTTCTACACTAGTTGTCTACAAAGGGCCAAGCCCTATTGTGAAAAAGTTTTTTGATAAATATATTTTTATTTCTATAATCTTTTTCTACATGACATTTTCTAAATATATCCTTGTTTTAACCCATGACTTCTTCAATTTCAATTTTAAATAAATAATTTCCTAAACTATTATTAGCTTAAATTATGTTGATGCACTCTATGCTGCCGAAGTCTGGGCATTGGACTATTATATATAAAGAATCTTGACAAATTGTAGACACGCTTTTTTAAGCAGAAGTACAACAAGAAAACATTCTTGGACCCTTCTTGTATCTTACGTATACGTCTGATGGGTCTCCCTTGGAATGACAAATTATCATGAACCCAAGTAGCTGATGACTTGGCAACCTGGTGAAGTAGTCATTGAACTACAAAACTATTTGACACAAATAGAAAAATGGCGCAACAATGGAGAACATCAAAGCTGCTGTTTATCTCAAAGGTGAAAGAATCACTAAAACTGTTACTTACACATTACAGTTGACAGCAAACTTTCCAGAAACAAAAGCAATGCATATCTGCCCCACTACAGTAATGTTAACAGCAATCAACATTCCACCCGTACATATTTTACGTATGTACATACGTATGTACAAAAGGTGGCTTTTGAGTGTCTCAACCTGACATAAGAAATAAAACCAGCACAAAATTCTGAAATTACTGAGAAATATTTGACCAAGAGCAAAGTCTGAGGTGGTAACTATTATTTTTATGTTAAACTGTTAAAATTCAGATAATTTAAGAAAGTACATTTATTTTTGAAAAAATATAATAAAATAGATTTATAATTGATTTATGAAGGGAAAAAACATCATGTCAATTCAAAGAAACAAATTTACTGAGATGTTTGACCGCGTGCTATGTTTAAGGGGTTGCAACTGTTTACAGAAATGTTAAAATTCAAATAATTTAAACAAGTACAGTACATTATTTGTGAAAAATAATTTAATAGACTAGCTTTATATCATTTGATTCAAGAAAGAAAAAATCATGTCTATTCAAAGAAAAAAAATTTCTGATTGTGAGAAGTTCAACCGCAGGCAAACTCTGAGCGGTTTGCGACTGTTTTCAGAAGTGTAAAAGTTCAGATAATTTAAACAAGTTCAATACATTACTTTTAAAAAAATAATTTAATAAATTACATTTATATAATTGGATGTAATATAGAAAAAAAATCTGAGATGTTTGTCCATGAACAAAGTTGGTAGGGTCAACGATTGTTCAATACTACACTAAACTTTATACAATTTTAGGCTTGAAATTTTATGTATTGTACATTGCTGCTATTATTTTTCTCAGTATCATAAAGCACAAAGTATTAAAACATAAGTTATGCTAGAATTGGAATATGGACTTGAATTCGATGGAATGAGTAGTCTTAAAATTGAGCAAGACTATGAAGAAAATGCAGTAAAGTTGTTGTAAATTCTGTTGGCCATGAACAAAGTTTGTAGGGTCAACAATTGTTCAATACTACACTAAACTTTATACAATTTTAGGCTTGAAATTTTATGTATTGTACATTGCTGCTATTATTTTTCTCAGTATCATGAAGTGCAATGTATTAAAACATAAGTTATGCTAGAATTTATGATTTTTCCTTCTTGAAGGTGGGATAATAGGTAAAGATGACCTATTATCCGACTTTCAAGAAGGAAAAATCATAAGTTAAACTGTTGAGGTCGAAATATAAGAAAACATCGTTATGCTAGAATTGGAATATGGACTTGAATTCGATGGAATGAGTAGCCTTAAAATTGAGCAAGACTATGAAGAAAATGCAGTAAAGTTGTTGTAAATTCTGTAATATTTGAGGTGTTATTTGTAAGTGTTAAAATTAGGAGATTCGAAGGGAAACCGGTTGAGCGCGACCCGACAGATGGCTCCCGACGGTGCATAAGCAGGACGCGAGCCTGGGACAAAAAAAGAACCACCGTACACAAACCTGTGTGGACGGAGAATCCCCTAATTTGCATGTGTACATAAAATGGCTGACGATTCTACCATTATCAATAATATGAATACAAAAAATGGAAATTTCATTTGCGGAGTTGTCGAAGGTAGGAAATTCAAGGGCGGCGGCTCGAGGCGGATCTGTTGGGTCCGCCCGCTCCCCCGGCCGACTTTCATTAGGGTTACTCACAGTAATTGCTGACAGCCGAGCTTCTCACAGATCGAATTCTTGTTTACCTCTTCACTTCCTTCCTCACATCGGTCCGTTTACTACATCTGGCTGATAACAGACTATTTATTTTGACAGCACCTGTGACTAGTTGTGGGTAATGAAAGACGACCCAAATTCCCTGACTGCTCAAACCGTCTTACGCTTTTCTATTTATATTTGTACATTTTGAGTTTTTTTCTTGACCTTCTTCTTTTCAGACTAACAAAAACAACTTTTCTCCTTGTATCTGCTTCGATTGAATTAACAGTAAAAAAAAAATCCAAATACATAAGACAGCACCATTTTAACACAAACAGATTGAGGTGTTCTTATTAAACCACTTATTATTTTATGAAATATAATAAAGAATAGAGAAAAAGACAGCAAGAGCTTAGTTGGTTGCAAATGGCCTGCATAATCACCTTAAATATGGCATGAGACAAGTCTAGTATATTTATAGTACAAAGTCACACACTTATGTACATTACATACAACATTAAAACAGTTGAGAATTGGACCACTATGTGTAGTGATTTTTTTGTTCTACATTACCTCTATAACAACCTTAAATATTTCTTGTGATTTAATTTATTAAATTGTATGTTTGTTTGTACTAAAACAGTTGATAATCTGGCTACTGTGTGAGCAATGCTTTTTATTTATTAATTTTTTATTGCAAATGATCTATACAACCATCCAAAATGCAACAAGAGTTATACAGTATATTTTCTTATACATAGTCACACTAGAATATACTTTTATGTATATAATTTGCAATTTCAATTTATTTTTTTATATGTAAGGTCTTGGTTGAGATGAAAAAGTTAGTGTCACGAGTGGGATACCCACGACCTTCGGTTTAAAAAAAATTGAAATAAATAATATGGTCAATTACATCACTAAACATAAATGGATTAATATAATACACAATATTAAAATAATTGAGAATTGGACCATGATGTATAGGAATTTGTTTGGTTCCACATGATCTATAAACAACCTCAAACCTTACTTGTGATTGTATATATTAAAATAGTTGTGTTTCTGTATAATATACATATTATGTTCTAAAACAGATGATAATCAGGCTACTGTATGAGGGAATTTTTTTTATTGCAAATGATCTATACATCCATCCTAAATATGACAAGGGATTTACAGTATATTTTCTTATAACAGTCACACACTTGAATATGTACATAATATAATTAATAATAATAATGAAATTAAGATACAATATTAAAACAATTGAGAATTGGACCACGATGTATAGGAATTCATTGTTTATATTTTTTAAAATTGTTGATAGTCGAGCTACTGTACGTAGGAATTAGTTTGGTTCCACATGATCTATGAACCATCTCAAACCTTACTTGTGATTGTATATATTAAAATAGTATATGCATTTCTTTGTATGTATTAAAACAGTTGATAATCAGGCTACTGTATGCGAGAACTTTTTTAATTACGACAAGGGATTTACAGTATATATTTTCTCATACAATCATACACTTTTATGCACATAATACACAATATTAAAACAATTGAGAATTGGACCACGATTTATAGGAATTTGTCGTTTATATATTTTAAAACAGTTGATAATCAGGCTACTGTATGTAGGAATTTGTTTGGTTCCACTTGATCTATACAACGACCTCAAACCTTACTTGTGATTGGATATATTAAAATAGTATATGTGTTTCTGTGTATGTACTAAAACAGTTGATAATCAGGCTGCTATGAGGGATTGTTTTAATTGCAAATGTCTATACAACCATCCTAAATACGACGGATATACAGTATATATTTTCTCATACACAGTCACACACTTGAATACGCTTATACGTACATAATATACAATATTAAAACAATTTAGAATCGGACCACGATGTATAGGAATTTGTTGTTTGTATGTACTAAAACAGTTGATAATCAGGCTACTGTATGTAGGAATTTGTTTGGTTCCACTTGATCTATACAACCTTAAACCTTGCTTTTGATTTCATATATTAAAAATGTTTGAACGTATGTACATATACACTATGTTTCTAATACAAAATCACAAATTTGAATGTACTTGTATATACATAATATACAATATTAAAACAATTGAGAATTGGACCATAATTTATAGGAATTTGTTTTGTCCCACATGAACTATAAAACAACCTTAATTATTATTAGTGATTAGATATAGAATGTATGTTTGAGTGTGTGGACTAATACAATTGATAATCAGGCTATCGTATGAGGATTTAAAAAAAAATTGAAAATGATCTATACAACCATCCTAAATATGACAAGGGATTTATAATATATTTTCTTGTAAACAGTCACCCACTTGGATATATTGTGCATAATATACAATATATTTATTTAGTAATCAACATTGGCCGTATTAATTATTTAATTGATTATAATTTTTATCTACGTCTTGGTTGAGATGAAAAAGCATGTCAATATGCCACTGCTCTAACTACTTGAACTATTTATTTAGAAATCGTGAGATGCGGTCTGGTGTGATGTAGGTTTCAGAAAAACATTTTCTTTATCGTGCCAACGTTTCGATCTTTATTGATATCATCTTCAGGGCTCAAAGTGTTTGTCTTCTGTATAATTGTGTCATTCTTGCGTGTCAAGGGTGCCATATCGATTAACGGTCACTAATCACCACACATACTTGAACTATTATGACATCCATGACCTTTGGCTTCATCTTAACCAAGACCTTAGATAGAAAGTATAATTAATTAAAATAATATTGTCAAATATGACTACTAAATACATGTATGGATTAAGATAATAAATGTAGAAGTTCTTAGTTCACTAACAGCTCCCTTTAGCCACTTTGTAAGTCACCGAGAATCGAATCCTGATTACATGATATTTGAAAATATGGCAAATAAAGAGAAAATTTGAAAGGTTGTAGGTTGAGATGAGTAGTTGGTGTACAGGTGGATTGAAGTCATGATTGCTCGCTTGGGGGGTTTTGTGAAACCAGCTTTTCATCTTAACCAAGATCTTAGATAAAAAGAACAATTAATTATAATATTCATTATTAAATCAATTGAGAATTGGACCACGATTTATAGGAATTTGTTGTTGTATGTTCTAAAACAGTTGATAGTTGATAATCAGGCTACTGGTCTAAAGACATATACAACGACCTCAAACTTTACTTTTGATTTTATGTATTAAAACTATGTATGTTTTATATTGCAAATGGTCCATACAACCATCCGAAATGCAACAAGGGATATACAGTATATTTTCTTATACATAGTCACACACTTGAATATACTTGTATGTACATAATCCACAATTTCAATTTATTTTTTATATGTAAGGTCTTGGTTGAGATGAAAAAGTTAATGTCACGAGTGGGATACGAACCCACAACCTTCGGCTAAAAGAAAAAACCATAATTAATCGAACTAAATAACATCTTCAATTACACCAGCAAACATAAATGGATTAATATAATAAACAATATTAAAATAATTGACAATTAGACCATGATGTACAGGAATTTGTTGCTTGTAGGTTTTAAAATAGTTGATAATCAGGCTTCTGTGTGAGGAAATTTTTTTTTAAATTGCAAATGATTTATACAACCATCCTAAATATGACAAGGGATTTATAGTAATTTTCATATTCACAGTCACCTACTTGAATACAATACAATAGGAGAACTGTGGTGTCTGATTTGTATTTTCCGTACTTCTGGGTTTGAATCCGGGTGTAGCCCATGGTTTTTTAATTGAAAATAGTATGAAAAATGTATTGTAAAGTGAGTTAACCCCTTGTCCGCAACACCCAATGGGTAGTTGGATGTTAAGCCTTCCTGTAATACAATACCTGACAAAACTCGTGGCTAGATTTCATTTAGCTTTTAATTGAACCTCTTCAGAATCCATTGAATCACCATGAACCTTTCATTCTTTATGAGGATGTGTAATCACTATCAAATTTTTCGGTCCAACACCAAGTGTTGTGCCAGGTCATAAGTTTTTATAATTTCACAAGCAGCTATAAATTTTATTCCAATATGATGAAAATTTCTTTCAAAACCATTAAACGTTTTTAAAATTATTGTTTGTAGTTATGACCTTTATTATGACCTTCTTAGGTAAACTAGAGATTTCTTACATATGTTTTATATAGAGAAAAAACAGTTAAGAATTGGACTATTGATTATATAAACTTATTATTATTATTTTTTATATATTAGACAGTTTAATTTTGATATTTCTGTACTGATATGATATTCTATGTTTTAAAGGGTTTTATGGTAGGCCATGGACATCAGAACAAAGGAAGGACCTTTTTCAGAAGTAAGCTATTTGTTAGTTTATGTCCTACCAAACTCAGCCAGTTAATTTTTTTTTATTTCGCCCAGGTTGAAAAAATGGGGAATGAACTCTTATATTTATGCGCCGAAGGACGATTCAAAGCACCGAGCCAACTGGAGGGATCTTTACACCGTCGAGGAAGCGGAACATTTGACGAGCCTTATATCTACAGCGAATGAAAATGGGATAATGTTCTACTACGCCCTCTCGCCTGGCCTCGACATCACTTATTCCAATACCAAGGAGGTCCAGTCTTTGAAGCGCAAACTGGAACAGGTGTCACAGTTTGGCTGCGTCGCTTTTGCCCTTCTCTTTGACGACATCGATCCGGAGATGTCTGAAGCTGATAAAGAAGTCTTCCAATCATTTGCACATGCTCAGGTATCAAATTAAAATTCCCATTCATTAGAATTTCTTAAAAGAAAAAATCAAAATGTAGCCTAAGGGAGTGTAAAATATAAATATTTAATTAAAACATGTAATGTTTTTGTATTTCATTTATTAGCAGTATTTTTAAAGGTGTATGCTGATTTTTTTAAATAATATTACATTTTATTATTAAAAAACTACCTATACTTTCAAAAATAAGCCCATCAAATGGCATAATAAAAATGACCCATAACAGAAAATACAAAGAACAACAATTTGCAAAAGAAGACCATAATTTAATGGTTTATTTCACTCCCCCTCACAATTTATGATTTGTAATAGTAACTTGTATTCAACCCAAAAACAAGAAAAATATAATAAATGTAAAATCAGTTTTTAAAAAATTAATTGTAAATCATAAATCAGGGTAACACGGTAGCCTAGTGTTAGGGTCTTATAGACCCTGCAATCATGGGTTTGATTTCCACTAATGCCCCTAGAAATTTTGACCTCCTCCCCCCTCATAAACATCAAAATAAGTACTGAATCTTGGCCAGTGTGGTAGATATGAAACCGTTTAAAAGCGTATAATTAAAAATATAAAAAAAACAACATATGAAAATAATCTTGTAGCCGATTGTTTCTTCTTAGTATATACTGTTCTAGGAATATATATGACAGGATTTTTCAGTTGAAGGAGGGAAAAATATAAAAAATTGTTTTATATAATGTATAATATAAGCATTTCAATAAAGAGGAGAGGTTTTGTAATATTTATTGGGTTTTCTTGAATAATTGTTACAAGAAGTAACAAGTCAATATCCGTAACTATTTTACTTTAGGTTAGTGATATTTTGATTTTAAATTAACAGGTTTCAGTTACTAATGATGTTTATCATCACTTAAATCAACCCAAGTTTATCGTATGCCCGACTCAGTATTGTGCAGCTAGAGCAGTTCCGAACGTACAAAATTCTGAATATCTCACTACGTTGGGGATGAAGCTCGCTCCTGAGATAGACATTATGTGGACTGGTAATTTTATTTTAATTAACAGTGATTTGAGAAGTTTAACGAGGTTTTTTTTTTGTCAAGGTGGAAAAGTGATCTCAAGAGTTCTCTCTGTTGAGTCGATCGAAGAAGTGACAGAGGTGATGAAACGGCCTCCGGTTATTTGGGACAACCTTCATGCCAACGACTACGATCAAAAACGTGTTTTCCTAGGCCCGTATCAAGGCAGGTCGCCCGACCTTATACCCAAGCTCAGGGGAGTCGTGACGAACCCAAACTGTGAGTTTTGGGCCAACTTTGTAGCAATTCATACATTGGCGCAGTGGTCTAGGTGCAACATCGACGGTGACCGGGATAGAAGTAAGCTTTAAAACCTTATATAACTGTAATATGGTTGAACTTCTCTTAGGAATGGGATTTTGTGTGTTTATTAGAATGGTTGAGAAAAATTATTAAATCCATTTAATGAAAATTTAAAAAGAAAAAATACACAGATACTAATTTTCTCTTTCTCATGGACTTGTATGACTTCGAGCTTTTTTCTGACAGAAAGATTCTTTGTTTTTGCACTCAGCATCACAATCACAATCTGAGAACTGTCTTAACAGACTAACTGAATGAGAATTGACCGGGTAAGCACCAAAGGCATTTTGAGAGGGTTCTGCAGGGTGTTTCCAAAACATTACTGTTTACACAGAAGAAGCACAATGCAGCTCGTCTTTCAGAAAATCATATAAAGTTTCTCTGAGTTTTCACCTGAGCGACTGGTGTCAGGAAACATCTTGACCTGTCTTAGCGACACTGGGGGTTAATCACCCCACTTCATGATTGTAGGTGACTTCTTGAGGCTACTGGCGATAGTTGAGGCATACAGGTCCTACTGAGTGTTCACACAAGCGTTGTCTGCTGCCAGTTGTTGCCTACGAAATGTATTTTGACATTGAAAAACTCATAATTGAGGTGAAAAATCACCCAATATTTTTTATTTATTTCAATTCTTGATGCCAGTAATCTACAGCTTGAAGAGAAATGAATATTCAATCAATATTTCCTGCTTAGAAATTTTTTTGCTATAAATGAAGTATCAAAGAACATGTAGAACCCTTTTCTAACAAAAACCATTTATTAGTTATTAATTTTGTGTGGTGTTTAGTGACTGTTGGGTAATGATTATGTGGAGATAATGAGATGCGGTCTGGTGTGATGTAGGTTTTAGAAAAACATTTTCTTTATCATGCCAACGTTTCGATCGTTATTGAGATCATCTTTAGGGCCTGGGATTTATAAACAATCATCATGATATCACACAAAACATATAATATAACATATAGAACAATCATCACATTAGAATGTTTGATGTGTGACATTTCTATATAGTCTAATTCTTCAACAATTTGGCTTTCCTTTCCCTAATTAACCCTGTCTATATAACCCTGAAAAGATAATCAGGCCGAACCATTTCCCATTTTTTCCTATTTTTGTTCTGTCGGCTCCTTTTACCTCAAAGAAGCCGACTCCTCATATAAAAATGTCTTTCTATTCCGAACTTCCTTCCCCACCCCTTTAAAATCCGATGTATATAAACATAAAACATCAATATCTCACTGGGACTCTCAACATGACACACAAGAACGACACATCTACACGGAAAACAAACACTTTGAGCGAGTACAAATCAAAAATTTCTAGCATGTTATAAATTTACTTTTTTCACATCCTACATGTATTTTTATAATTTAAACAATGTTTATTAATCCCAGGCCCTGAAGATGATCTCGATAAAAATCGAAACGGCATGATAAAGAAAATGTTTTTTCTAAAACCTACGTCACACCAGACCGCACCTCATGATCTCCAAATAATCATTTATTAATTTTATTCATCATAATTTTTCCATCCATAACTTTGGGCTTAACAGCCTCCACCCACAAAAAATTGAAATCTAAGAACTTTTAGAAGAAGAAGCCTTTGCGTCGCAATCTAAACAAGGCTCTAAGCTGCGATACGGATGATGATTCCAGGTTTCTGTTGAGCTTCCGCACCTAAAAAAGGTTCATCCTGCTAAAAATCTTGAGTGCCAAATGGACCCTGTTAAAGAAATATAATCAAATAAGCAAACACCAACTCCATTTTTACAAGGCACTACAGCATGCTACCTATCTTTTTAAAACTATCCATTTTCCTATAACTGGAATAGAATTAGTTTCTCAGGGTCACCTCTGTTCGATTTACCCCTTCCTATCCATCAAGTTTCCTCCAGTTATTCTTAGCCATTGGTAGAACCGACAAACAATTTTAGAAGTGATTTTACATATTATCTCTATGATTATCACTGAGGATCCAGAGAGAGTGACTGCGTTTTCCATAAGGAATTTGGTGGGGATTGCCTGGCTCACCGTCAGGTCTCTGAACTGCTCACATGTTCTGGATTACCAAACCCTGTGATCAAGACCTCTGCCATTCGTGTACTACTGAATTTGTTTCCTTTTTGCTGTCCAATTTGAAGAGACTTTTCTATTGAAAAACCTATAAATGTAGTGTATGTGTAGTCGTTTATTAGAATGTAGAAGTACCTTTTTTTAGTAAAGTATGGGAAAAATAAAATTGCATGGTTATCAGAAGTTTGGAGTTCGACTGAACTGTTAAAACAAATGGTTCAAGTCAATGGTTTTCACTAATAAATATACAGTACACCTTAAAAAATATCTCTTTTTTTCATTAAACCGCAGATAAATTATAAATATGATACTTCAGCATTTCAGCACATATTTGTAAAAACGCATTAAATTTTACTCACTCAAATAGTATATTTTATGTGTGGTGTTTAGTGAACGTTAGCCAATGAATATTTGGAGAACGTGAGGTGCGGTCTGATGTGATGTAGGTTTTAGAAAAACATTTTCTTTATCATGCCAACGTTTCGATCTTCATTGAGATCATCTTCAGGGCCTGGGATTTATAAACATAGTTTAAATTTTACTTAAAAAAATGAATTTATACAATGCTAGAAAATTTTAGATTAAAAAAAATTGAATTTATTCAATGCTAGAAAATTTTAGGTTAAACTAATTAAAATTTCTAGCATTGTATAAATTCAATTTTTTTAATCTAAACTTTTCTAGCATTGTATAAATTCATTTTTTTAAATCTACAATTTGCTAGCATTGTATAAATTCATTTTTTTCCACATCCTACATGTATTTGTAAAATTTAAACAATGTTTATAAATCCCAGGCCCTGTAGACAATCTCCAAATAAGAATATTTTATTCTAAAAACAAAAAAAAATATTTTGAAATTCTTTGTTCCAGATGAGAGTGTATGTTCTGATATAAAATTAGAGACTGAGGCAGACGATGGCAGCGAAGTGCCAACCCGACTTCCCGTAAACATGTACCACGCCCGTCGTGCACTAAGAAACGCCATAATCGATTGGTTACCCGAATTCCATAGAAATAGACAGGCTTCGGGTAAATTGGAATATTCATATTATTTTTTTAAATTTCTAATTTTTCACATTTAAAAACAAAAATTTTCTAGGTTTTATTACAAAGCCTCAAGTTCTTAGTTCCTTAGCAGTGCCATCAACAGTCTTGTCGACTGTCTCGACACCCGCTGTTGTAAACACTTGTATAGTCTTGACTGGTACATCAACCGTCACTTCTATTTCTAAGTCAACCATTAATCTCTCCACACTTAAAGAAGTCTGCACGACGGTAACCATCTAAAAATCATTTTTATTTAAAGACAGTCTGTGTAAAAATTATTGTTTTGTAAAGGTAAATGGCAATACTGGGCCAATAGTTATGAACTCGTTACTGTCTGAAACTAAAGTTTGCACCGAGCCGATGGACTGTAATGCGACTCCACCACCAGAACCATCCAAAGTGTCTCCTACTCTCGTAAGCTTCAAAATCAATATTTCTAATGTTCAGATTTGATCATATTATTTTATGTGTCTAGTGTGAAACTGAAGAAACGAATGAAGAAGAAGGCCACCAGCCTTCAGTAGACGACATGGATTCAAACAGCACAAACAAAATGTTGGTGGATTCCACTTCACCTGAGCCAATGACAGAAGTGTAAATATTAAAATATATTTGATAAAAGAATAACTTTATATATTTTTTTAATTTTTGGTTTTTATAGTGCCGATTGGAACCACCAGCAGTTGAATTTGGAGGACATCTCCCTCCTCTGTGATCTTTTCTACTTGCCTTTTGAACACGGTACTCAAGGTATTCAACTTTTACAGGAATTTCACTGGCTTCACACCAATGCCCATATTATTGCTAGTACTCATACAAGACCTGAGGTAAATTTTACACGTTTTCCTGTCAGGCTGTGTCATTTATTTAATTTGTATTTGTAGGTGGATGAGTGGCACGAAAGGGCAAAAAAACTACAAGATATGAGTACAAATGTAAACAAATTGTTTCAAAAGCTCAACGGTATTAGCAATAAAGAGTTAATGTACGAATTGTATCCTTACATTTGGGAGATGCGGGCGGTTATATCGACGTTGAATTCTTACATAAAGTGGCTCGGTAATATGCCTTGACTTATAACGGAATCTATTTTCTTCCCCTGTCATTCATTTGAATTTAAATTTCAGGAGGCGGGAAAATCGGCCAGATCACGGACAACCCAGCGATAGGAAACTATACTTGTAAGATTTTGCCAGGATGGTCGTTGGCCGCCTCCCTTGAAATTATTATTTTTAAGGTTTTTCTAAACGCTGGGTGTTTTAATTCTAAAAGTAAATATTTGTTTTTTGTAGGGTTTTCAAAAGGTTGGAAAGAGAGTTTCATGAGCGGTGAGCAAGAGCCTTGGGTTTTCAGAGGAGGACTTACTGCAGACCTACAAGTAAAATGAACATAATTGTCTTTTAAGAATTTTTTTCATTCACTTTTTATTTTTGATTGCCTGTAGTTGTTTGAAAAAGAAATCAAAATTTAATTTGTTTGATTGCTAAAGACAGTTTTATGTATTAGCTGGGACCGCGGTAGCCGAGTGGTTAGCGAGAGAAACTCTCGGCTCATAGACCCCGGTCATGGGTTCGATTCCCACCATCACCTCTGGTCTTTTTTCACAATCCCTGCCCCCCAATATGAATACACATAATAGTCTCCTTGGCTGATATCCATCGGTAATAAGGTCAAAAAAAAAGAAGCCATTTCAACAATTAAATTGAAATTTAATTTATATCTCAAACAAATTAGTCATACTTGACGGTTAATTGACATAAAGATACCAGTTGATACCTGTATATATTTGAAAAAGTCTTAAACCTTTAAAAATGTGGGCCAATGAGAGGTGGTAGTCTGTGAAGGAGTCAGGTCAGGAATCTGTCAAATAGATTTGGAAGAAACTCGATTCCATCCATTTCCTAATTTTTTCCATTTATGTGCTGTTGTCTTCCTAATAGAAAATACTTACCAAAGTTAACTATAACCTCTAAAACTAGTACGTTGCAGTTGTTAAGTTCAAAATTGACACTCTTATTGAACAGAGAGAAGAAATTCCTTCAAATTTCTGCGAATCTTTCATCAGAAATAACGATTCATGTGATCACTTGAATTTTGAAAGTGCAGCCAGTATGTTTCAAGGAAAACTTTGGTTTTCTGTGAAGTAAGCCTGTCAAACTTCCAACTTACATATATATTTTATATTGTAGTTTGGTCATTTCCAAACTTTATGCTTGTCTTTCCTTTCTGTTTTGGTCAGAATAGTTTCATTGGGTTGACAACAGATCTATTGATTTGTGATTGTAGGGTCTGGACTCTGTGGAAATTGGAAGGTTTGATTAAGCCCAAAGTCCCATGCTGAATGTCCATATTAGTTTAAATGTTAATTTGTGTATAAGTATTTTGTTGTCAAGGGAGAATTTACATCTGTTGTCTAGTAATCTTTTAAGAAATCGGTATCGTCGGTTCAGTTCTTTTTTTAAGAGTTCTTTTTTTAAGTTGGATATTGGAATTTCAGATAAGTACTTTTACAGATACAGCCCAAGGTAGCAGATGACATTTCCGAGTTATAAATTGGAGGTATAGTGATTGACAGAGGGTGAAGGTTATGTTTTGGGACTGTGGTGTTTAGTATGTTTTGCGATTTTTTAACTATTGTCCAATAGAATATAGGAGTCTCTGGAGGGTTAGGTGAGCTATAAAGGGGGGTGGATTTAAAGGACAGAATAGCAGTGTGACCAGCTTATGTTAGGATAGTGGTGTCGGGATGAGTAAGGATATCAGGCAGTATATACTGTGTATAGTGATGGGCCGAGAACGCTATCCTAAGGCCTAATATGCACTGGGATTCTTGAGTCGACTCTTTGAATCTCCGGAAAGTCTCGGCTGCATCTAGCCTGATTCCGGGCTGCCCTGATTCATTGTTGCAATGAATCTGGTGTGTTGCGGGCTAGCATTTTCGGACTCTTTTGAATCCCATCCGATATGGGATTCTTTGACTCAATGTTGCGCAACATTTGCCAGTGCGGACGTGAATTGGAACAAACGCTCTTGCTTCATTTATTTAGTTGACGTTCTAGTGAGTGTTTTCTTGAAGATTTTGGTACTGTCTTGTATTAAAGGTATGTTGTAGAGTACCGAGTTGACTTTACAGTTTATTGAAAACATACATTCCCATCGGTGTTTGTAGGATGTATCATTCACGGAATACAGAAATAGGGAATTGAAAAGGCAAACACTGAATGGTTTAACCCAAAAATTCAGTTTCTGTCGCCGAAATTGAAAAAAAAATGCACTCTTTAAAAGGATAGATTTTTAATGCACTTCCAATTGGATGCACTACGTACAATGCAAAAAAGAGCAAGGGAAATTCCTGAAAGAGCTAGGTCCTCCGGCATTTTCGCAGGCACTGATGAATGTGAACTGAATCTTGGTCTAGACATGATTCTTTGTCATGGAGCAGAGTCGGGGCTGCATCGCAACAATGAATCTACGCAGCTCCGACTCTGCCCCGCAACATGAATCGACTCAAAGAATCCCAGTGCGTAATAGGCTTAAGGAACACCCACATCTACCCTGAGCAAAAGGATCTGGCCGAAAGTACTTGTTGGCCATGTAAGACTTGAAGATGAGGAAGTGTGTATAGGGTAGGATGCCCTTGAGTTTACAGGACAAACCCAAAAGCCTGTTCAACATTGAGGAAGACCTCCTAGCAGCTTTTCTTCTTCTCAAGGGAGAATTTGAGGATGTCCACAACACGATGGCACTGTTAAACAAATTGATGGTTGAGGATTATATTAGAGGATTTGAAGATAGTAGGTGTTTGATTTTAAAGGAGTTTTTCAAATTTACGAAGAATTGGCAGTAAACTGATAGGAATCCAGAAGGTTGTGTGGTTTGTTGCGTTTAGGAATCGGGTGAACTAGTGTGTATACATCTGAAACAAAAATTCAACATAACCCCGCCATTGAAGGTGGCGAAATGTGTCAAACCGCAATGGGAGGATAGGTAGACCAAAATGATCAGAAATGACTAAACTACAGTCATCACCCTGTAGGCCCCTGTTTCATGTAACTTCAATAACTTTGACAAACTGAATTTGTTTGCCAGTAAAGTCCTGCAGATTCACTACTAGGTCACTCTGATCCTTGTTCTCTATATGTGCTTGTATCACCATTTTCAAATTTTTCCAACTACCTATGCATCATCCAATCTTTGATTTTATCCTCTTTTTGCTTTCAAACTTCTAAAGGTAGAGAAATGGCCTTGTGTCCATGCAGGAAGTTTAAAAAATTTTTGTTCTCCAAAATCAAAATTTCCTCTCGCATTTTGCGTTTCAGACCTTTCTCAACAAATTTGGTTCTGTGTCTGTCTGTGGTCAATTTTGTAACATGAAAGCGGTATCGCGTGCACATGTATAAATGTAAAATCTCATATACAGCTGTATCTCGGAAACCATTTCTCAGATTTGTATGAAATTGTCAGCCAGCTTATATGTAGGTTGCTTCCTTTATAATTTTCTATAACTTTTATACCATTCGATTAACTTATATGCATGTGCACAAATGTAAAATCCCAGACATAGCTGTGTCTCCGAAACCATTTGTCGGATTTGTATAAAATTTTTAGTGTTTATGCGGGTTGCTTTCTAGATTATTCCATATAAAGTTTATATCAATCAAATAAACTTGGACATGCACACGTGTAAACGTAAAATCCCGTACACAGCTGTATCACCGAAAATGTTTGTCGGATTCGAATGAAATTTTCAAGGGTTATTTGTTTATGTAGGTTGCTTTCTAGATGATCCTCTATAACTTTTGTACCAATCGAATAAACATATGCTCCTGTGCATGCACAAACGTAAAATCCTGTACACAGCTGTATTTCCGAAACCATTTGTCGTATTTGTATGAAATTTTTAGTGTTTCTGTGTGTTGCTTTCTAGATGATCTATGAATTTTTTACCAATTGGATAAACATATTCACAAGCACTTTTACAAATGTAAAATTTCGTACACAGCTGTATCACCGAAAATATTTGTCGGATTCGAATGAAATTTTCTAGGCTTATGTGTTTATGTAGGTTGCTTTCTAGATGATCCTTTATAACTTTTATACCAACATACATAAACATATGCGCATGCACAAATGTAAAATCTTGTATACAGATTTACCTCCAAAACCATTTATCGGATTCTCAGTTTTTTTGTTTTTTCCCGAAACGAGTCGTGAGATACAACTCAATACACCGATACAACAATCCTCACATAGTAAAATAAATCCTGTTGTAGAGGAGAGCTTAAAGTTCAACTACCCATGGGGTGTCATGGTCAAGGGCTCAGATCACTTTACAATACATTTTTCTTTGTCCAAATAATTTCAAATCAAGGATTACATCAGGTTTTGAACCCAGAACCACTGGTTATAGTAAATATAAGTCAGATTCCTAACTGTTTTGTCTGAAATAAACCATGTAAATTAATATACTAAGAATGAATGGATGAATACAAAAATCAATTATTTTCAAGTAAGTTAATTTTGACTTAAACATGTAATTTTAGAGACTGATCCCGGTTGATGGTGGCTCTGATTTATTCGTTTACAAAGTGCCTCAAGTTGTAAGTAACACGATATACACCATCAGAGAATTTGAAGAAACAAAAGATGAGGAAAACGTATTAAGCCTCAATCGTATCTTCAACAGGGAAAACTCATCAGACACTAACGAAAGGTTAAAAAAACTAAATAAAAACTCGCACAATTAAATTACATTCAAGCAAACTCTTTCTCTCCAGACTTTTAGAATGTATGCTGAGACTGAAACCTGAAGTAAATTTTGTAGTAGAGGAAGAAAGGGAGGACGAGGTAAAATTGATAGGCTACGCCCTTGCATTTATCAACAGCAGACCGCGCATAACTGAAGCTGAAAATCCAGATCCTCTACTCATGTCAGCTTTAGGAGGAGCTCGACCTCAGCACCCTTCATTAATGACTTGTGCAATCCATCCATCTGTATCGGACCAAAGCGTTAGCAAACGTCTTATAGTTTGCCTCTTGGCCGCCCTTAGGGCAAATGGTAATTTGAGAAAATAACCTGGCTAACATTACACTTATATTAATGTTTTATTCTTTCAGGTTCGTGCGGCTGTTATACCCCTGTCAACCCACAAAATCCAGCCCTTTTCGAATTCTACAATAAATTAGGCTTTATAGAGATGTCTCGCGATGAAGATTCATCAACCGTCTTCTTGAGTCGAGTCTTTTAACAGACTCGTTCTTCAGCATCAGAACAAGAGAGTAAATGGGTTAAAATTAAAAACCTCTTTATCATGTATTATTTTTAGAATTTCATTTTCTTAGCAGGACGGTTTGATCAGGTCGAGGCTCAAAAAATGTCTCTATTACATTTGCAAAATTTTATTTTTGAATTGCTAATTGGACCTATTTTATAGAGTTATTTTAAGAAATTCAACCTATAGATGTAATATAATTATATCAATTTTGGAAGAGAATTTGGATTATAATGTATTAATGTCTTAAGTACTTACTGTGATTGTACATGATTTTATTAACTGCCTGTCTATTTTGGAATGTTTTAATGAATTAATAAAGACGAATTATCATTCCAATATCAATTAGTACAATTATTGCTATTACAAGTATTAATGAGCTGTCACCATTTTGTCTTCCTGATTTTCAAATTTTCTATGCTTCCTTTATTGTGTTTTAGGTGTAATTAATACTAGACTGTTAAGAACGGAAAATATTCATGGTCAATAATGTTCTAATAAAGGCCATTTTTTTAAATTTGGTTTTTGTCCGCATTTTAAATTGTGCTAGTGACTGTGATGTTTTGGAAAGAGAGACATTATTTGAATAGAACTGATCCACCCGTTTTCCTTCTCACCTGCGTTTCCTTGAGGTTACGACTGATCACAGTTTTACAATTTAGTCTGTAAGGTCATAAAACATGTATTGTATAGCAATAAAATCTAGATGCTGACGATGCACAAAAACCAGTCTCCATATCTGAAAATTGTAACAAGTATCATTGCTCAAAAAACAAAATTAACAGTTTGTCAATTCAAATTTAATTGGCCGGCATTTTTTTTTGGCTTGATTGTATTTTCAGTCATGGAATTTTTCCAACGGGGCCAATCATTAAGAAATTTTGGATGACATCGATGAAATTTTAAAAATGTAAAATTTTCTCAAAAGTATAAAAGTATCTACCCCTGTAAGAGAATCTCAGTTTTTCTTCTATGATCTAGTCAATTCGATTTTTTTGTTTTGGGCCTTTGTCTTGACATAAATTGATTGTTTTTTACTGGGATTTCAATTGAGAAGGAAATTTGCAATATTAGTTATAATCGTTTCCTTTTAATTTTTAAATAGCTCTACAATAATTGTAATAAAAAAAATTTAGATAGTGTACATTAAGAAAAGTAATTCTTACTTTAATCCTTTTGGCACTAATTATGAAAAAAAATATTATGTCAAGACATGTTCGATTTAAAAAAAAAAAAAAAAAAAAATTAAATCAAATATAAAAAGAATTTCTTTGTGGGTCAAAATCTACAAGACAATTTTTGTAAGTTGTTTCTTAAATCCTGTCAGTATTGAATTGTTCATTTGTCTAAAAATTATTTATATCGCTCACAGCCAGGCTATATATTAACAATTTAAAAATACTTGTTATAAAGAACACTTTCTTTTATTCGTTATTCGTTAGGACTATTTTTTGATTGTACATTAAAATAATTTTAAGCTTTTTTTTTATTGAATTGTCAAGAGAGATTTTCCACACTTGTGAAAACTCCTTTATTTATAATCATGTGGTTGATGCACATAATTTAAATCATAGTATTAAAAATTGTGGCTGTCAAGTATTTTTAGATTTTCTTTTTTTTTCAGGTCGAATTCAAATTTGAATCAGTTTTAAAATTTAAAATACAAAATAATTGCATTGCATGTATTAAATTTTCGTACAAATCAAATTACAAGTTAAAATTAATTTTAATTGACTTTATAAAATGCAAAATTATCATAACGGTCTCATTTGAAAAGCTGACCGATTAGTTATTCACAATTTATAAAATATTGTTTTAAAATTGTATTATTTCTTTTGTTATGTGCGTTTTTTTAGTTTATGTTTTCCCCTAGAAGGAATTAACAATTAAGTGCTTAATATTATGGAACAATAGTATTGTTACAAATTGTATGAGAAGAGTTTGCAGAACTTTTTTTTAATGCATTTTGTGCTTTTATTTTTTTATTCTCATAGGTTACAACGCTGTAGGCTATTGTGCGCAATTAACGTGATGATCCTTGATAATTTGAATTTTAAAGGCGTTTATATAAAAAAAGAAAAAAAAAATCTTGAGTAATTTATTTCTAAACCTCCTCGTATCAACTGATCTTTTTAAGTGCTGCAAGCTTCCTCTGGATATCTTTTATCTGAAAAATTAAAAATATAGTATTTTAATAAGAATATTTACATAATGGGAAAGCATGTAAAAAAATTGGCATACAGCTCTTATCTCATTGAGTCTCGTTGACATTTCTTTGTGGGGGTCGTCCGTTTGCCTCTTTTTCACCATATCTTGAAGCGACACTCTCAATTCTTCGATTTCTCGGTTCAAATTTACTTGACTAAAAAATATTTAAAGTTACAATTTAAATTTAAAAAATAAAGAAAGAAAGAACTCACTCTTTTGAGTTTCGTTTTGGCTTTCCTTTCTGAAAACGTTGCTCAATTAGTTTGTATAAATTTAAAAGAAAATATCAAAAAGACATCACCATATCGATTCTTAAGTTGGACATGAGGTCTCTTCTTGAAGGCATTTTGGCATCTGGATCTACTCCAAACGGCGGCGGTGGTTTTGGCAATCTAAACTCATTACGCTCCATGCGGCGTTTCCTGTCGCGCCAACTCCTCAAAGTCTCTTTGTCCCTGGAAATCAAACAACGTGAACATAGTGTAAACTTGTGACATCGTCGAAATTGCGTACTTGGCCTTTTGGATTGTCTTCTCTTGTGATCTAAGTTCGCTCGTTATCTTCTCAGCGACTACTTGATCGATTATCTTTGATGAGTCTTTCTTCTCGCAGACGATTTCGCTGAGGCTACGCAATTTCTTCTCTTGTTGAATTCTCTTGACTGTTTTCTTTTTCTTTTCGTCTACAGAATTGGTGTTTTGATGTTTTATTTTTGTTTTCCAGAAAATAAAATTATATTTCTACAGATGGTGTCACAATTTAAAGAAAAATATTTTCACTAGTCACATTATTGCACAAATTTTTCTTAAAAGTTAAAAAAATTTCTAATAAATTTTAATTAATTATACAAAAAATTGAACAAAGCAAAATGATTGAATAAAATTAACTATAAATTAATTGTAAATTTATTAGAATAAAATTCTTTTTAAGTGTCTCAAAAGTAGACAAGACTTACAATGGATTAAATATATTTGAACAAATTGCCCCTGATCATCCTGGTGTATGTTTTATGCAAGTTTTATTAGAATGTGTAAACAAAAAATTACTTTTTCAGTCGGGTTCATTTTTATTAACTGCGCGTATGCAAAATTTTTCTCTCAAGGAGTGTTTCATTGCTGTATAAGCTGATATGAAGGGGAAGGTCAGGAAATTGGGTGCAATAGAATATTTACATTTATTACATCAATTAAAGATGCTTAATACATACTGCAAGTTGAAACAAATTAGTGTTATTACCTTCAGTCTTATTTGGACTCAGTATTGGCACATCTTTGGTCGACTGGTTTTCCCAGCATCTCCTCAAATAATCAATCAACTTAGCATCGGTCGAGCATGTAGTCAGTACGGTTCGATTTGGAAACTCCAATGGATTTTCGATCACGGACAGTGTTTTCAAATTCGGCAAAGAGCCTGAGTTAAATTTAAAATGTCAAACAGGAATTTTTTTTTTTGTTTTTTTGCGGGCTCATCTTACCCAACTCGAGCGGTATTATCTTGAGCCCATTTCTCTGTAGAAGTATAGTCTCGAGGCTTGCGTTGTTCACAACACTCGTTGGGAAAGTTTTCAGCAAATTTCGCCTCAGATCGAGCCAGATGAGATTTGGGCAATAGGCGAATAATTCAGAGGGAATTCTTTCCAATTGGTTATTACTCAGGTAAAGGTACTGAAAATTTATAAATTAAAAGGATTAGTTTATGAGCACAAATATTGGTCCTTCCTCTTAATATAAAGATTATTCTATTTTACATTTTTCAAGCAAGAATGTTTCCTGATAGATTTAAAAAAAAAATAAATAAATAAATGAAATTTGTCACCCTTGCAGACTCCAAAAGAAAATCACACTTAAAAAATCTATAGTTTTCGTCATAGCAGATCATTTTGGTCTGTCGTATGTTTTAGTTTTCTGCAAAGATAGGCAACTTTCAACCCAATTCTTCACCCTACAGCCCACTAGAGAAAATCTGACAAAAAAATCTATAGTTTGGTTGTCTCAGATGATTTTGATCTGTCATATGCGTTTCAACTTCTGCAAGGATAGATGGCAACAAAACTGTAGATTCATCACCCTCCAGACCCCCAAGAGGTTTGGTCGTTTCAGATCATTTTGGACTTTCAGATATGTTTCAGCTTCTGCAAGGATAAGTCATAATAAAACTGCGGGTTTATCACCTTGCAGAGCACTGGAGGAAATCTCACAAAACAATCTATTGTTAGTCTTGCAGATCATTCTAGTCTGTCAGGAGCATAACAGCTTCTACGAGGATAGGAAACGATGAAACTCTAGGTTCATCGCCTCACAGACCCCAAGATGAAATCTCGCAAAACATCTATAGTTTGATAGTTTTCAATCATTTAGGTCTGTCAGGTATATTTCAGCTTAAGAGAGGGTGGAAAATATGAGCAATCAGCAGGCTTTTTCCTTGTAGATCAATGTGTATTTCCTTTTTTTTTTAATGGTTCGCAACAGCAGAATTTTAACCAATTTTAACCCTCGGGATGACGGTGTTTTTGAAAAAAGCCCATTTGTAAGTATGCCGGGTTTAAATGCAGGGCTGCTGGATTCGAACCCATTTGTCCATCACCTTGCAAGACCCAAAAAAGAAATCACACACACAAAAAAAATTTTTTTGGGGGGTTGTTTTGGATTCATTTTGGAATTTCAGATGTGTTTGATCTTCTGTGAGGATAGGAACTGCCCAACTGCAGGTTCATCACCCCACAGACCCCAAGAAATCTCATAAAAAAATTTTACTTTGGTCATTTACAATCATTTCAGTCTGCAGGTTCATCACTTGAACAAATGAGGACATCACCCAAAAATCTGTTTGTTTTGATCATTTGTTTTTAATGTATTTATATATCGAGTTATCATTTTTCACACTATTGCATATTTTAGTGAAGTTAAACTAATATTTTAATAAGCGATGTAATAAAATTTAAGATCATGAAATGCGGTCTGGTGTGACATAGGCTTAGAAAAACATTTTCTTTACCGTACCAAAGTTTCAATCTTTATTGAAATGCTGGCACGATAAAGAAAATGTTTCCCTAAACCTACATCACACGATCTCCAAATAAACATTAATTAACTGTCACTAAATACCACAAAAAAAATTAATTTTAAGTTGAAGTAAGTACTGTTGGTCTGATAAATTAAAATATTTATAACATTAATATAAATTAATTCTTATGCTATAAATATTTTTTTAGTACTACTAATCTGAAAATAGATAACCCAAAGATAATAATGATGCTTATAAAAACAAATATCAATTTAAAAATTTCAGTTGAAGCATGTAAATACTGTTGGTCTAATAAATTTAAATATTTATGACATACATAAATTAATTCTTATGCTATAAATATTTTTTTAGTACTACTAATCTGAAAATAGACAACACAAAGATATATATAAATAATGGCAATTATAAAAACATATATCAATTAATCATCTTAACAACCCACACAACAATGTTCATAGGAACCAGTAATGATCAAACAACTCACCCATGTGATGTAAACATGCTAGTTTAATGTATGTAATTTATTTATTTATTTACGGATCGAAATCCACTATAAAAAAGACATTTTACAATAACAAAAAATATAAATAATATATGTAAAAATAAAAATAATATATATAAAAAGAATAAGGACGTATATCCATGGTAATAATATAAATGGTAAATATAAATGATAAATATAAAAATACAATTAAAGAGTAAAAACTGAACAATAAAAATGAAAGACATAATTACTAACCAAATAAGGCAGAGAAAACAAAATAAAGCTGAAAGACAATTGAAAATACAATAATTAGGTACATATTTAATGAAAATAATGCTCTTTGTAAATATATAATAAGACTAGAGTGCGAGAATTAGTTGAACCAGTAAATGAAATAAATTGTAATAATTTTGTACAGTATGAAATATAAAAGCATTCAACTAAGGTTGTAGGATAAGGTTTTTCACAGATTGCACAGAACTATTGAAGAAGTCAATGCTATTGCAGATGTTGTTACTCTTGATCATCATTCTGTGTAGAGGAGAAGAGAGCATGTAGTTAGAGCTTTGGAATTCAATATAAAATAATTTATAGGTTTTAAGAGAGTACGAAGGGACATGTAGCTGTAGTTGAGAGAGGAGATAAGGACTATCAATGAGATTGTTTAATAATTTAAATACAAAAACAATATCAAAGTAATCCCTTCTTAGTGCCAGTTCGAAAAGTTTAAATTCAGAGCGGATTCCAGGGTAGGCAGAATTCGGAGGAAGATTGAGTTTGTAGGAAAGTTTTTTTAAAAATTTGTTTTGTACAGATTGAAGAATTTTTTGATAATTTAGATAGAATGGGTTCCAAACAGGTGTAGCATATTCTAGTATGGGTTGTACAAAAGCTTTATAAAGATAGACAAAACATAAAGGATTTTTAAATTCATAGGTGTTCCGGATGATGAAACCTAGCATCTTCATGGATCTATTTTTTATTGAAGAAATATGTTCTTTAAACTTGAGCTTCTGATCAAAAAGTACACCAAGATCCTTTACGACCTCAACTTGTGTTAAAAGAGCATCATGGAGAGTATAGAGATAAATAAAAGGTTGTTTCTTATGAGAGAATGTAATTGTGTAGCATTTGGAAACATTAAGAGCAAGTTTGTTATTAGAGCACCAGGTTAGCACATTATTTATAGAATTTTGTAATTGTAAGCAATCGGAAGGAGAAGTGATTATGGAATAGATTAATATTATAAAGCATAAAAAAAATTTAATTATAATTATATATACACAGTAAATTATTAGAAAAATTGAATCAGTCTTTTCAATAAAAGAAGGAATTGTATAAAAACTATCAAATTTTGATTTTTATTAGTTATATGGACGACCAAAGAGAGCAGTCCTAAAAGTAGTCATTTTAGCCCACATTATTAGCTCTTAAGTTATAAGATATAATTAGTATTATTTGAAATTATAATTTTTGAAAAACTCACGCTCAGGTTGTCTAGAGTTATTTTTGCGTTGGGATCCCTGACATCGAAAAGTTTCAGGTTCAGTCCACTCAGGTCCAAAAAGTTGCCGCGTCCTTCGATGACCCCCGACGCTACCCTGGGCTCCTGCTCGACCTGGAGGCCCAGGGTAGACAGCTTCTGGAGGTACTTCTTCTGCTCCGCGTGTGTCCAGATCTTGTCCCTGAATTGTCCTTTTTCATCTCGCTGGCTGTCCGCCGTGCCCCTTTTCTCCGCGGTCGGCTTGGACGTGGTATTCTTGGCGTCTCCTGATCCCCTGGCCCCCTTCATTTACCCACGGGCACCCTGGTAACAGGAAAACGGACGGACTTTTTGATAAAATGCGTGACTTGGAGGTGGATTTTATCGATCCCGAAACGTGTCGGGCACTGTCGAAACTTTTCCTTTATAAAATTAAATATTCAAAAGATAAAACAGTTATCATAGCCAAATACCGTAAGATCGCATATTATTAAATAGATACCAAAATATAGAAATTGTAAAAGCTCTTTTAAAGAAAAACAGGTCAAAAGTCGTCTTTCCCACTTTTTTTTTCAAAATATTATAACTTAAAAATTTGGTCAACTTCTTGTCTTCTTCTACTTATTCTTTTCGATGCAATAAACTGCATATTTTCTACAATCGCCTTATTCAATTTCTAAATACAAAAGAAACATAATTATTAATCAAATATTTTTTTATTACTTATTTATTTTTTTATTACAATCTGTAATTATTATTTACAATATGTAATTTGTGGATACATGAACTTTTATACAACTATTTATATTGAGGGGAGCAAATAATCAATGTTATCCTCCCTCTTCACTTTGTTTATGTTGTTTTACTGTTTACGCCTTTACGGGGCCATTTCCTCTTGAGACGCCTTGTGGGGTTGTAGGGTTGGGTTCTATTGGACAGGGCCTGGGCAAGACTATTTGGATGGTGGGAGAGTTTTTTGTGGAACTCGGTAAATTTTTGGGGAATACATTTTTAGATATAAGGAATTTGAAGGTCGTTGTGGAGTGTAGCATTTGAGACATAATAAGGAGCATTTACAATGGATCTGAGGACTTTAGATTGAAAGTGGAGACGTTGGATATGGAGGGTTTAGCGGTTCTCCACAGTTCTATTCCGTATGTCCAAATCGGTTGTAGTAGTGTTTTGTAAATTGTAAGTTTGTTTTTTGTCGATAGTTTAGACTGTCGTCCTATAAGTCTGTGCAGTAGACCATACCGTCTGTTTAGGTTTTGTCGTGTATGTTGATTCCATGTTAGTTGTGAGTCTAGGTGGAACCCAAGGTAGCGATCGCAGTCGGATTTGGGGATAGGAACGTTGTTGTAGTATATCGTGGGAAGAGGTTTGCTTCGGAGTGTAAATGTGACATGGACGCTTTCGTTTATCTTCATTTTCCATTGTCTACACCAATCTGCTTTACATGAGATACGTTCCTGCAGATCTTCCGAAGCAACCGCAGGATCGGAATTAGAGTATAGTACAGCTGTGTCATCGGCGAAGGATGCAAGTAGGGTGGTAGGTTTAATGGGAATATCTGCAGTATAAAGGATGTAGAGGATTGGTCCGAGCACACTGCCCTGCAGTACTCCCGCGTAATCAAATATAACGGTGGTCCTTTCACACAGCTAACATATTCATAAGTTTAAAGACAACACAGTGAAAATAGCGAACCTTAATGTTCAAAACACTTTCTGCGATCATAACACTGTACATAATTATAATAATTATTTGAATATTACTTACATTATAAGAAAGAATGAATATTAGACTATTGGTTGAGAATTTAGATTGAAGAATAAACAATCTTAACAAAACAAGCCATAGATTTTTTAGGTAAATTCAAAAAGCTTTTAGTTCCGGCAGATTTTCTTTTGTTTATGGAAGACTCTTTTCAATCACCTTTTGAGCTTTATCAGAGAACAGTGCGATTTGTGTTATTTCAATATCTGTTTTGTTTTAACGAAGGCTGAAGATGCTCACAAAGTGAGTGAAAGGCGTCTTCCATAAATAAAAGAAAATCTGCCGGAACTAAAAGCTTTTTGAATTTGCCTAAACAATCTATGATGTGGTTCCATCGCAAAGAAGTGCATACATGAAAGAAATAAAAAGAAGAAATATGAAATAGTCCAATTCCACTTTGGTATAATGAAGAAATGAATATCTATATACAGGGTGTCCCTTATCCGCCCCTTTAACGTACTTAATTTTGGTCCGATTTTGATTGATTTTAAAAATAAATTTTTGGTTCATTGTTTTTTCACATAAAATACGTCCTATGTACATTTTTTTAAATGAAACCCCCATTTTTTATTTTGGATTTCAAAACTAAATCTTTTTTTTAAATTTCGCGTTGGTCTGGGTTCGATAGAATTTTTATAGAAGTTAGCGAAATGAGTTTTCTCCATTGTACCAATCTTATTATACATTGACAATTTTCAGATGCAAACGCACCTGACTAGATACAGCGAGAATAAACGGACCCAAATGATGACCAGAACGATTCATCATAAATTTAGTTATTTTAGAAACATATTACAATATACGATCTCTTTAAACTCTGAAACAGAGCTGAACGGACACAGCGAGAAGAGGCGGACCAGAATGTTCCAAGGCCAAGCAGACACTGGAATTTAGCCACTTTAATCTACACTGACATACAATTCTAACGCACCACTCATTATTTAATTTAAAATAAATCTATTAACTTTGTACATTATTAGCTGCAGGTCATTAGGTGCTATCGAAGTCAAAATAAACAGTAAATAATTGCGTTGTTTACTTTTGTACTGATTAATCCCATTTGCAGAAAAATTAGAATTATGCCCTTTCATTTTGCTACGTCCAAAGCTCGCTTTCAGTTAATATTTTTCCTTCGTTGATTTCATTTTATATTATTCTTGTACTTAAACCTTTTTCAATGGTTCCAGTCAGGCATATGAGTTAGTAGGATAGTGTTAGGGTCATAACATCGTTGGAGGAAGGATACAGCCAGCGTGAAGTTGTCAGAAGACTTGTGTAAATGGTTCTGCAATAGGAGAAACAGGGCTTCATCTAGAAAGCCAGGGCAGAGTCGACCTAGGTCTACAGACGAGAGAGACGATAGATTCATCCGTCATCTGGGGTGGCATTTCCTTGGACGCCCGCACCGAATTGGTTGAGGTTCCAGGAAGACTCTAACTTCTCACTGGGGAAGACATAATCGAAGAATATGTGGTGCCATTTACCCTCCCACACATCGATGAGAGCCCCTTAGTGCACGTATTGTGGATGACTACCTGAATGAGGTTGGAACTGAGTGCTTGGTGTGATCAGCTCGAAATACAGATTTGAAACCAACTCAATTTGGGACCAACTTAAGCGACGAGTTCGACGGCGAAACCCAGTTCCTAACACCCTACAAGAGTTAGAAACGGCTGTTTCTGATGAATAGGAAAGAGTTCTTCAGGATTTTATCAGAAATCTTTTACAAGGGATTGTAATGCTTTAGAAGCTATGACAAAGGTAGCGGTTTTTTTTGCAGCTGACAGACGCTGCGGTTTCAGTAGCGGTATCGTGTCAGTCACTTCAAAGGAGCCGACAGACCAGTCCCCTTCATGTCATTTTCCTATATTGTCAAGTATCATTTTCTTAGAGGAAACATTGTTAATTAAATTGTGCTGAAACGACTCAGTTCAACCCAACGCAAATAAAAGGACCAGAACGTCCTAAGATCGTAGATTTAGGCATTACAACAAAATATTAAATGATGTAACGAAAAGTATGAAATAGCCAGCTCTACATTGGTATAGTGGAGAAACGAGTATCGACACAGCGAGGTTAGACGGACCAAAGTGTACCAAGACCAAGCAAGCAACGGAATTTAGCTATTTTAATCAAGTTAATTGATAGTCCACCCCTTTAGAAGACGTTGCTTTGTATTTAAAAGGATGAAAATTTTGTAAATCGACCATGGCCAAATGCTGAAACACTCCTGACAGGATACTGCAAGTATAGGCGGACCAGAAGGAACCAAAACTGACATATTTCCCTGATGATGACCTTAAAATAGGTTGAAAGGATTGCAATAACAACTAAATTTGCTTGATAATTTGTCTCAAATATTATTTGATGCCTCATTCACTCAAGCTTTTGAACATTTTTCTTGCATCGTATCATTTCCTTAGATGAAAGATTGTCAATTGAATATATAATTTTGCTGAAACGAGTCAGGTCAACCCAGCGAAAATAGGCAGACCAGAATGACCTAAGATCATAGATTTAGTCTTTATAACAAAATATTACATGATGTAACAAAAAGTATGAAATAGTCAGCTCCACATTGGTATAATGGAGAAACGAGTATCGTCACAGCGAAGTTAGACGGACCAAAGTGTATCAAGACCAAGTAGGCAACGGAATTTAGCTATTTTAATCAAATTTATTTGATATTCACCACGTCAGAAGACATTGCTTGTTATTTAAATGTATTTAAATGGGTGAAGCTTTATAAATCAATATTCAGATACAAACTTGCTTGACTAGACAGAGCGAAATTAGACGGACCAAAGTTTTCCAAGACCAAGCAGGCAACGGAATTTAGCTATTTTAATCAAGTTAATTGATATTCCACATCTTTAGAAGCCGTTGCTTTGTATTTAAAAGGATGAAAATTTTGTAAATCGACAAATAGGCAAAAAACCAGCAAGGGCTATCATTGCCTTTATGTAGCTATGTGTGCGTATGTGTACAGTGGTGTGTGAGTGTGTGTATGTGGATTCGTATGTGTGTCAGTTCTGGGGAGCGCGTACAGCCAGCCGAATTTTGTTGCTTATGTTATTTGTGTGTTAATGTAGTGTTCTTGTTATATATAGTTGTATAGTTTTATTTTTTTAAGATACCCGATGACTTTGTCAACCATTTGCTGCTTGTCCTGTAGGAATTGTTTAAGTGGGAGGTGTAAGGAAGATGTGTAAAACCGTTGGCAGTTCCTTGGGGGCACAAGATGTGTTCGATGGTTAGGCGTTCACCACATAGGCAGACAGGAGGGTCAGTATGTTCCATCAAGAATCCGTGTGTTATTCTTGTGTGTCCAATTCTGAGTCGGCAGATGATAACCTCTTCCCTCCTATTCGTTTGATAGGAAGTTTCCCATAGGTGAATGCTGTCTTTTATCTTTTTTAGTTTGTTGTCTCCAATATTCATCCCCTAACCATCCCTAAGCCAAATGTTGAAACACTCCTGACAGGATACTGCAAGAATAGGCGGACCAGAAGTAACCAAAACTGACATCAATTAGACATATGATAACCTTAAAATAGGTCTAAAGCACGGTAATAACAACTAAATTTGCTAGATAATTTGTGTCAAATATTATTTATTACCTCTTTCACTCAGAAGACTGAACATTTTTCTTGCATCGTATCATTTCCTTAGATGAAAAGATTGTCAATGGAATATATAATTTTGCTGAAACGAGTCAGTTCAACCCAACGAAAATAGGCAAACCAGAATGCTAAGATCATAGATTTAGTCTTTATAACAAAATATTACATGATATAACAAAAAGTATGAAATAGTCAGCTCCACATTGGTATAATGGAGAAACGAGTATCGACACAGCGAGGTTAGACGGACCACTGTTTTCCAATACCAAGCAGGCAACGGAATGTAGCTATCTTAATCAAATTTATTTGATAATCCACCACTTCAGAAGACATTGCTTGTTATTTAAATGTAGTTAAAAGGGTGAAGCTTTATAAATCAATATTCAGATGCAAACTTGCTTGACTAGACAGAGCGGGATTAGACGGACCCAAATGTTTCAAGACCAACCTTATAAAAAAATGTTTTAGACATTTTAATAGAGTATTTGTATTAAACGTTTAGCGTATTTTATTTAGAAAAATATCTAACACTGTTTAATTCTAATGAAAATTCATATAAGGGGAAAATTGAGCGCGATATGAAGTTAGTACTTACCGTCTCGCTAGGAGGAATTATTTTTTTCGAGGGGAAGAATTGTAAAAACTATCGCTCGTCACTAAAATTATCACGATTGAGGGAAAAAGTGTAAAATAAACGGCACTGGGCGAACTACGTAAAAACAGTTTGAATAATGAAAAGTCACCAACTGATTTGAACGGCAACTTTGTTTTTCCCCTTTTGTGCAAGCTTGCCTTTTGGCTCTAGTTGGAGGTTCTCGTCTGCTGAGTCTTCTCTTGAGTGAGAAATGTCAACAGCTTTAACATGGCCACCGTTCGGGACAGCGACATTTCACTTTGGCTCCACAACAAACTCGGCACGTCCAACGATTCATGGACGAGCGGCTCGATTTGCTCCCAGCTCAACAACGAGGTGCTTCGGAACATAAAAGACTGCTTTCCGGACCTTCAGACACAAGTGAAGCTCAAGCTTCTCCTCTCGTTTTTCCACATACCCAGGAGGAACGTCGAAGAGGTTCGGTCCACTTTCATTTTTCCCGTACTTTATCGTTAACTCGTTTTTTTTTCTCGTTTAAAGTGGAAAGTGGAGTTGGAGGAGATAGTCGAGGTGGCTCAGGTGGACAGCGAACAGTGGGTCTCCATGCTTGCGGAGATGATGAGCACGCTTCCTTCGACTGGCTCTCTCAATACAGTCATTGCTGAAAACGATCAGAACAAAAGGATCTTTTCCGATCTTGTCAACGATCTAAGAAAATTGGGTGAGTGTGGATACCATACGGTCATTCGGTATAGCTCATATGCAGAGACCGGATTTTTATGCAGTAAAAATTGCCAAAATATGCCATAAAATATGCATTTGAAAGCCCAGAAATACGCATAATATGCAGTAGTAATACATTAAAATATGCAATGATATGCAGTAAATCAGTTTTTTTGTTTTGGTTTAATAAGGGTTTTTCAACTGTGAGGTTATTTGAACCCTCAGGGTGCTGGTCAAGATACAAAAAAAAGCCCATTTGTAAGTATGTCGGGTTCGAATCCAGCAGCCCTACATTCGAACCCGACATACTTACAAATGGGCTTTTTTTCAAAAACACCGGCACCCTGAGGGTTTATATGACCTCTGCTGTTGCAAACCCTCGTAAAAAATAAATAAATAAGTAATTTGCATACATATGTATTTTTGAGGGGAAGTGGTGGGGCCCTATGCGTCCTCTTTAGTATATCTCCATTTGTGTACCATACCTCCTGAAAAACATTACTGTCGATGTTGATGGGAAAATGTTCACGAAAAACAAAACTTAACAAAATCATTACGGTATTGTTCAGAAACTGGGAAAACTACTTATTAATTTTACCAAGAACTAACAGTGATAACATACGTTAGCAAAAAAATATATTAATTTAATAAGTTGGTCTAATATAGTGTATACAGTGAAATATTTAGTTTAAAATAAATAAGTAAATAAGTTAGTTTAAATAATTAAATAAATAAGTTAGTTATTCAGCAATCGTGAGATGCGGTCTGGTGTGATGTAGGTTTCAGAAAAACATTTTCTTTATCATGCCAACGTTTTTATCTTTATTGAGATCATCTTCAGGCCTCAAAATGTTTGTCTTCTGTGTAATTGTGCCATTCTTGCGTGTCGTGTTGAGAGTCGTGTCGTGTTGTGGCACAATTACACAGAAGACAAACACTTTGAGCCCTGAAAATGATCTCAATAAAGATCGAAACGTTGGCACGATAAAGAAAATGTTTTCCTGAAACCTACATCACACCAGACCGCATCTCATGATTTCTGAATAATTATCGATTAATGGTCACTAATCACCACACAGTTCTAAATAAGTTAGTTTAACAAGTTAACAGTTTAATAAGTATCCAGTAAGTTAGTGGATAAATATTTTTTATAAGTTATTAAGTAACAGATAGTTAAATAAGTGAGAAGGTGGATGAATAAGAATTTTAGACAAAACAAGGCAAAACAGCGAGAAGATTCAGGAGGATAAAATATGTTTTATTCTCCTGGGCTTCCAAGATCTTGGACAATCATTGCCGATTGAAGCACATAAGGAGTTTTCGCTGTAGACTTGAGAAAGATATTTTTGGGTCCTATATTTTAATTCCTTCCTAATCCATGGCATTTCAACTAAAGCATGCAAGTCTATGAGCCTTGTGTAATGTGAGGACGAGGTGGCTAGTCTTAAAAACTTATTTTGTATTATTCGTAACCCAAGTCATGCTTGTGTAGCTCCAAGCAGGGCAAGCGTACAATAGTTTTGGTTTCACTATCACTTTGTAAATAGCTAACTTATTTGCTACGCTCAAAGATGATTCTCGGCTTGAAAGGGGGAAAAGAGTCTTAATCATTATTTTTCCTCTTTTTATCAACGAGTTAAGATGTTCACTGAAGTTCAGTTTGTGGTCCAGTGCACCTCTATTTCGTCTGTAGCATAGGAATAGTGTCATCTGTGGTTAAACAGTCTTTAAATGCACAGTATTTTAGGAATTTTTCTGCAATTTTTCAATGTCATGAATTGGATTTTTATAGTGGGGTGACCATATTTGGGAGTTGTACTCAAGTACAGATGTTACCAACGAGAAATATAACATTTTTAAACAACTTATGTTAGTGAAGTCGATGTATTTCTCCTTAGAAAACCCAATAGTTTAAATGCTTTAATGACTATCACATTGATATGTAAGTTAAGTGAAAGTTTGTGGTCAAATATATCACCTAAGTCCTTTATACTGTCAAGTGAACTTAATTTTACATCATTGATACAATAGAACAATAAATAGGATTTTTTAATCAATAAAATTTAAAGGAATAACATTTTTTCACATTGAGCACCAAATAATTACTATCACATCATGATGTAAGATGATTAATATCTTAAATTATATATTTTATACTAATTAAGTATAATGCTAATAAACAAGTACTTCTCCAAATTGTCTTCTGTAAAATAGTGCCTACAGTCACTTAAAATTTGTGAGAATATTGAATATTGAAATAAGACCTAAGGAGGGGTTTTATATTTTTTTGTCGGTATTTCTAGAATCTTCTCTTCCAGTTGTTGCGGCCTGTTTCAGTTTAATTAAGCCAACTTTATATCAACTTGGCTTTTTTACAGATTTTTTTTATGCTTCCCCCGAAAACCAATATAATTTTTTTTTTTAAAGCCCATTTGTAAGTATGTCGGGTTCGAATGCAGGGCCGCTGGATTCGAACCGGGATTTTTACCTTACAGGGATAAGTGATAAGTCAACACCTAAACCGTTGTGGCCACCGACGCCCCCCCCCATATAACTGTAGTTATGACAAAAACTTCCTTGGTGAATAAACTGTATTTATTTATTTTAGGTTAAAAAATTTAAATAAACAACTTTTTGCAATTACTATCTTTGTTGTGTGATTATTGCACTATTTTTGTAAGATCTAGTGAATTTAGTTTTAATTTATTCACTTTTATGTACCAAAATATTGACTATTCAATATTTTTTTAAGTGAGGAAGCACAATGAAGTAAATCTGTTACCTCTGGAGTGCCATTATCTTAACAAATCTGCTTTAAACAATCTAGTAGGGCAACTGGTAAGAAACAGATAAATTGATATGTTTAATTTTATTATTAATTTATTTTACTTTTTAATTGTGTATTAATTTCAGCCACAGCCCACTAAACATTTTACATTAAAACGTAAACCGAAATCGGCTGCTTTGAGAGCGGAATTGATGCAAAAATCCCACGATGCTGCGAGCAATCTTAAAAAGAGCCAAGCTCCGACAGTGCCCGTACGATCGAGAGGGATGCCTAGAAAGATGACAGATACGAGTAAGCTTTTGGAAATGCCGTTAAAAGTGAAATGTCTAATGCATTTAATATTTAGCACCTCTCAAGGGGATACCGAGCAGGGTCCCGTCAGGCGGTTTCCAATCCGGGCTCAGCAATAACTCCCTCATGTCAAGGCCGTCGCTTCCTCGAAACCCGCTCCCGAGGAAAGACGGTGGAATCAAACTGCTCGACATCAATGAACAACCTCTTGCTCACGCACAAGCGAAAAAACGGAAAAGATTGCAGGAACAGGAAGAACTCCAGGCGAAAAAGACCCAAGCAGAACCCACGACTCCTACTCCCGATTACGCACTCGGTCTTGTACCGCCTCCTTCTGTCGCACCGCCCACGCCTATTCCAGAAAGCCCAGCACCATCGTATGCTCCATCTACTGCTAGTAGTGGTAAATTCACAAGTTTTACATTTATGCTTTCTAATAATTTATTTAAAAACTTCTACCTTTGGTATAGAACCTTGGAAAGAACTTAAATTATTAATTTTTTGTAATTTACTCTACAGGTGTTTCAACACTACTTCAAGCATCTGCCATTTCAAACAACACAATTATCTCATCACCGCCGACACCGATTGTACCTATTGTTAATAAGGTATGGAATTTCTTTTCTACTAAGCTGAGTTTTTTGTAATTAAAATATTTATGTATTTCCAGACTGACGTCCAACCTGCAGAGCCTGTTGTTGAGAGACCTATGCCGCCAACAATTAGAACTCAAACTCTGACAATTTCAGAAGACAAGAAATACGAACTGACGGTGATTTAAAATTTTTCAATTTCAATTGATTATATTTATAAACACTAAAGTTAAAACTTTTTTTTTTTAACAGAGGGACCAAGTTTCTAAAGCCCAGAAGCTTTTCTGCACTGCTAACAAAGTTACAAGGCCTGAAAAATCTCTAATTTTGGGCTTCATCGCCGGCTCAAGAGGTCGGTATTTACAAAAATGTATTCCATTTAATTTATTGACTTTTTCTTTCTCCTGCTTTTAGACAACCCATGCCCTCAGTTGGGTGACGTCATTACCATCAAATTGAGCGAGTACCAGGAGATGGTGAAACAAGACTCGAAAGAAGTCCCTAAGATCGTCGAAACCCACTTCCAAATGAACTACATCAACGGAGAATGGAATCTTATTAATCGCTACAGAGATATTGACCCTCTATAACTTGATATTGCTAATTGTAATTCCCTTTTATAAAATATACTTGTTGTATATAATACGTGTAATAATTTAAAATCAATTAGTACAATTCTATTTAAAATTACACTTAAAAAAAGTTAATACTTGTTTTATTTAAAAACAAAGCGGTAAATGAAATTGTTAAAATGTTTTATTTTTGAAAATTTCTACATTTTTTTTTTAACTTGTTAAAATATTATTGTGCTGAAAATAATAAATTGAAAAAGTTTATATGTGTATAAAAACTTGATAGATTATTTTCTGAAAGCTGTGGTTTTATTAATAACCCAATGATTTTTTAGTTAATAATAAAAAGTAAATACCTGCATTACAAATTGGGTGCCGTGGACCACTTTATAAATAAAAGTTCAAGGACTTTGCCAGGATTCAAATCCAGAACCGCTACCATACGGCTTAACGGTTCCCAGTTTATAGTTAATATCTCTTAAGAGAATTAATTAATATAGGGGTCAATTTGACAAGACATGTTTTAACTTTTATTAAAATTAGCTCAAATTTAAATGTTTATTTACAGAAAATATTACAAATTAGAATTGAGCATAAATCCAACAACATTAAATTATTTATGGTAAAAAAAAAAAACCCTTAATAACAGCGATTTTAAACTAAGCTAAATTATCGTAGAAAACTGGCAGTCTTGCAGAAAGGCAATCAATAAAGTTCAAAAACGACTCAACAGAAATACGAAGAACACCTGGAAAAAGACATAAAATCATTTAATAGAACTTAGTAATTGGAGAATGTACCAAATAATACATAATAAAAAATGTAAAACAAATATGTACCAACAAAGATACAAATCTGTATATTAAATGCATGTAAAACTATACTTGTTACTGGAATACAGATTAAATTAACATACAGTTAATAATGTCGGTTTTATCATGGTCGATGACGATGACTTGGATTTAAACTGGAACTTTCTCTCTTCAGGAGAAGTTGAACAAAGCTTGTAAGAAATTGACGAACGACGACTTTTTGGGGTGACGTATCCCGGGATGTAGAGGCTGGGCTGAGCGAGTTTCCCCGTTGATAGCAGCCGGCTAAAATCCTGTTCTAATTTGTTTGCATTTGGTCCTGGAAAAAAATTCTATATTTCAACAGATCGGATGATAAAATCAAAACGGTTTTTACCTTTGAAATGTATTAAAAGCTGTATGCAAGCTCCATTGTAGAGTATGTTAGTTTTTCTCGAATCTATGGTCAAATACCATTCAGGGATTCCCATAACGTTCCGCACATCTTCGAGGAACTGAGATCTGTAAAGTTCCGTTTTGTTGTAAAAAAAGTGCTAGTTTGGTACAATCTGACCATTTCTTACACGACAAATTTCGGGGGTCTTCTCACATTGACATATTTTACAGTGTAATAGTCCGGCTCGATGTTGGCGCAAGCATATTTGTCATGACCTCCGTCTTTGTCGAAAATAACGATTGACCGACCTAATGCTGATGTTTTTCCCTCTAGAAGAAACATTTAGGCTTTTAATATTCAATTTATTGTAGAATATTCCTTACAGAAAAATATTAGAAATGATCAAGCTACCTTGAACTTGCTACAATATTTAAAAAATAAACCAGGGATTCAAACTGATGTTTTGCAAACTTTATTTTATTGCAATTCAGTTTTTAATATTAGTTTTATAGTTTATGTTTAAAAATAAATATTGAACTCTTTACGACTTAATTCAACAATATTTCTGTAGCTTGATCATCACTGGTCATACTGCTTTTTTTTTCTCGGTTCTCTTTCAGATGTGTATCTTCATTTTGCCAGGTTCATTTATTGTTCTGTGCATTTTTTCTTAATTGTTTCCTTTTATAAGATAGTTAAATGCGGAGGATGAAAAGTCCAGGATTAATGATGATCTAACTACAACCCATCACCATAAAGTTTCGCGATAAGTTACCTAATGGGAAATTAGCATCGGTGAAAACTTTTCTCCCAGTGCCCAAATTGATAGGGCCAAGCCTTCCTGAAAGATCGCCAACATAGCACCTCAGAGGCAAATCTGATCCGCATTCCTGTTTATACAGATCTTCCTGAAAATTAAAACATTAAGTATCGCCTTAATGCAGAATTAAATAATTGATAATTTACATTTAAAGGATCAGCTAGTTGGGTGTAGTAAGGGTTCCAGATATACCCGGCTGCTGTACACCTTGTGTTCAACACCTTAACCGTGGCATCTACACCGATCGAATTGACATAAATGGCCCAGTTGTGGTTGAAAGTCTGAAAGAATTTAATAAATGTTTAAAAAAAAATTAGCATTTAAAAAGAAAGAAAGCAATACTTACAACATTCCGATCGTGCTTTCCAGGATGCCGGACATTAACTTCTATAACAGTATCACTGCTGCTTCCATCAATATGAATAAGTTGTGTCTTTAAAAAAAAAAATTAAAAATTTAAGTAGTAAAATGGTTATAATTTCTGGAATCTTACCATTCTCATATAGCCATACGCAAATCCAAGTGGATGATGAAAAGAAGCAATAGCTCTGAGTTCTCTTGCTTCAGATGGGGCATATCCTCTTTCAATTGATGAACAGGCCCATCTTAAATATTTACAAATAATATTATTAATTGAAATAGTACATAATCTATAAATATGTAAGACAAAACTACAACTTGATAATACTTCAAGAGTGTTTTAACGGTTTGAAATACCTCTTGTTGTGTGTTTTTGTGTATAAAACTAACGATCGTCCGATGATGGATGTTTGGCCAAAAAGCATTAAATTTGTGTCATTAAAACCGATTTCTTTGACTGACATGTGACCTGAGAGTGTGCCGAACTTTCCACTCAAATCTCCGACCCTCAACTGATCTGGGGTCCCGCCTTGAAGCGAAGACGGTGCGTTAAATGGGTTGTAGACCTCATACAGGGTGTTTTGTTGGCAAGGGAATTCGAGAATTTCTAGTACAGGTGTCTAAAAAAAGTTTATATGTCATTTATCATAGATAATTTTGATTTTAGATCTTTAAAACTAACCATGTGAATTTGGAAGTCACTTATGTCCTGAAGCCCTTGGAGGTTTATGTCGATGTCAGTCAAGCCATAAGCGGTTTGTTGGTAAAACTCAATTTTTCCGCTGACGCTGGCCATAAAGCCATTTCCGAACCAATCTCTTGCGACAGCCTTCCTCCGAAACACACCCATCACTCTAAGACGAGAATATTTTGAAAATTTTGTTTTATTTAAGAATCGGATAATTATTACTTGGAACAGGCGAGACGGTCCCCCCTGGCTTTAGGCCCATGGTCGTCGAAGATAATGACTGACTTCCCCATGATGGAATTATGCCCAGTGAGCGGGAGCCTATCATCTGTGAATAAGAACCTGCTTTCTCTCTGTAACTTCTTCGCACCGGCAATGACAAGGTTTCCTAAACGTGAAGTTAGATCGCCGATTACAGATTCTGCACTTACATTTGGATTAACCTGAAATACATTTGTTAAAACTCTTGGTTGGTTATTTTATTTTTAAAAAAATTATGACACCTTCGTTGGGTTGAAAGCAGGCCCTGCAGACACACATCGGGCCGTCCAGTTGAAAAAATCTTTCCCTGGTGGTTTTAAATGAATGCCCCATCTGTGTTCCTTGGTCGTATTGAGTGAAGTGCCATCGGCATGGACCAATCTTTCAACTAAAATTGTCGTTTCACCAAATGGATCTGGCTGTTGAAATATAATACGACCGACAATCGGATATCTAAAATTAATCAATGGTAAAACATCTAAAAAGTATCATTACTTTTTTTTTAAAAGGCCAATTTACCTAAATGTAACTTCAGCAGTTACCACTGGCATTTTGTATTCAGGTTGAGTTGCTTTATATCTAGTCAATGTTACGCATATCCATGGCTCTTCTATTCCTGATTCACCATTTCTTAAAATATCAAGGTTAGGCTTAATGAATAATTAATATTGAAACTTTAAGTTCAAGTATGATTCACTTTATTTTTGAAGTTATTTAGAATATTAAAAGGATAAATGTCATAACACCAACCTATAAATGACTAGAGATCGATGTGCGACACTGTACTTTCCAGTCAACGGTAGAAAAACATCCCACTCTCTTTCACCAGCATAACCTAATTTTCCACTCAAATCTCCCAATGCATAATTATCTTGACTGTGTTCAGCTAAAACAAATAATGTATAAATAATACTATAAACAATATAAAATGTGAGATTTCCTCTTGGGGAAGACCATTTTGTCCAAACTATGCTGTTTTGTTCCTTTAGATGTGTTTCAGCTTCTCACCATTAAAAAAAATAACACACACCCAAAAAAGATGATGAATGAGTCTGATGAACCAAATCAGCAAGAATAAGCAATAGGGAACAATCAAAAACACAATATAAATTTTTGAATAATACCTGATATCGGTGCATCGGCTCCGAGTCCCTTTTCCAATGGATTGTAAACATCTCCAATATCCTTGCACTTGTCCAATTTCGGTGAGTTATCAAGAGGCGGCATAGCAGGCAGGGTGTGTATTCGAAAACCGCCAAGAACTGGATCATTCACTTTTGTCACATTAAGAAACACTCTTGTCGGTGTGAGCTGCGATTCTTGCTGCAAGCTTATACTTCCAGTCACTCCATGTGCACGTATCACTGCCCTGAAATGCAAATTATATAGTTTTTCTTTCGAGGCATTCAGTTAATTTCTGTATTTACTTTAAAAGAGTTGGTGGCTTTGGGATTATCCGGGCACAGTTTAAAAATGTCTCGGGATGAATGTTGTCCATAATGACAATGTAATGGATTCTTTTGGGGTTTCCGATGTCTGTATGAGGAAGATCAGAATCCCTTATGAGCATCCTTTCTCCTACCCTTACTTTTCCAACCCTCGTTGTTAACTCCATCAGAATTACTTGGAGCGAGTTGCAATCAGCTTTTGCCTTATCTGCAAAAAAAAAAAAATCTTGGAAATACAGCATGAAAAAGTAAAACTGCAATTTTACTAATGCTGTAGGAAAACCAAACATTCATTGAAAGCTAAAACGTAAATCAAATTGTTCATATTACGATGATTTGAGCCGTAATATAACTTAGAGTAAATAATAGAGAAATAAATGTTAATATAAGGAATTCTGTACTTCTTTTATTTATGTTAGGCTGTAAATTTGTCGGCTTCCAACCCAGTGAAACAAAGGAATGTTTAGAAACATTGACAAATGAATAGCCTAAATAAAAAAACAAAAAACCGGTGAGTCAATGGATGGACTTTTGTGCCCCTACACTTGTGGACCAAGGGGCTGCATAATAGAAGTCCCCAGGAATTATGAGGTGTTGTCTGGACGGTCACGGGAAATGATCAACTCTCACAAGATGGGCGTTGACAGTCAGTCTCAAGAATTTGTTTTTCCTTCCTCCCACCATAAAAGAGGAGGATTTGGAAAGCAAATCTGTGTCCAGAAAGGTAGAAGAATTGAAAAGAGCCATGAGTTGGAGTTGAGACACAGAGAAGGCAACAGAGGACAAGGTCAAGGAGTGTTGGGACAAGGGGAAGTCAAGTGGAGACACGGGCGGAAACCTGGGTGAATTGGGTCAAGGCACGAAGGAGGCATTCGAGGGCAGAACCGAGGTGAATAGAATCGACTGTCGAGGAGAGTCCTGAGGTAAAGAAAGTCAAGACTACGCAGAGACAAGATATACGTAAAGGCAGAGCTGAGTCAAGGAGAGTCGACAGACATCCTTCTCCAGGAAAGACGGCAAGAGGCTGAAGTATTGCTGGTGAGTGTTGTTTCTAAGTTCACCCCTGGAGTTGTTGCTTTTTTATAAGTAACCAAGTTGATAAATACAAATGAAAATAATGAAACAGTATGGACAAGCATAATAATAAATACTTATGAATATTGTCTCTCTGGTTTTTGAACTAACATTACAAAATGTAAGCATATATAGAGTGTCACTGCTGCTTATAATGATAAACACAAAAGGATGGTCTAACTCAATTGTTTTGTTCATGAACTTTCAGTGGTTTTAATGGACAATATAAACTTTAATACATTAATCAAATCCATCATTTACATTAAATTAAAAAATAATTTGTAAGAAGTCTCTTTCAAACCACAGGTGTGCTATAGACAGATATATTTAATATATTAATTGCAATGTATATAACCTTAACGATGGTGATATAATATACAGTAAGCTCAGCAATGAATTTGATTGTGTTATACTAACTTATAAGCCTTCATTTTAAACTTATTACTGTACAACTAATTTATTATATATCCTGCACAATATAATAGATTACTTAATTCTAAATTTAAGACTGATGTAATACATAATACAGGTTAACTTTGAATTTGATTAAACAAAGGAAGATTATATTTATTTTTGAAACATACAAGCTTAATATCTCATACTGAGATTATATATAACAGATAGGTTTTGCTGAAAGCACCAGGGAATTGAATTTTAACTTTTTGTACACGTTATGGCAGGTATTCTTCATGGAAGCATACTTGGTCAATTTTTTTTAATATATACCGCTGATATTCTAAACATGTTATCATTTCAACATATACATTTGCTGATTCTTACACATAATTCATTTACCTCCATAAACACACAATATCTTAATGACTTAATTGTACGGTTCATAAAGTGGATAATGAAAATGAACTTAAAGAAAAGAACACAGATAAATTTTACCAGGCATAAAAGTATCTGTCCCCAACTATGGAACCCCATTGCTTATCACTGATTTTGTGCAACATCTTGGACTTTTTATGTATAAACAACTGACTTGGAATCCGAACAAAAGACTTAAAAGACAAGAAATCTACCAACGTTACAAATGATTAAAAAGACTACTTGGCTCACGATCAAAATTAGACATTGAAAACAAACTTTTAATTTACAAGATAATAATAAGACCTTGCAGACAATTGTGAAGTGTGGGGATCAATCGAAAATTCTAATTTCCATAATCTCCAATCAATTAGTCCAAAATTTTCCATCAAATTATAAATGCTCCTTTCATAACAACTTACACATCCCCTTATCAAAACCCGCTTCAAAAAATTTCATCACTCACTAGGTATCCACAATAATCTACTAGTATAACAATTCCAACCCTACTAGAAAATCCTCCAAGACAATTGAAGTGAAAGCAGCCATGGATCTTCTCAGTGAAATAATAACGAGATTTCAGCGTGAAGGAGTGTTGTCACTGGACAACTTTTCCTATAAGTGACTCAAACAACACAGTCAGCACAGAAAATATTATTTTATACTATATTTGTAACTGTAAATAACAAATAAATGTAAAAAAAATTAATTAACATATAATAATGGTTTGCCACTTTCAAAATGCAACTGGTCTGAAATATTTAGACCTTTCACTCATAATATTCATGTTGAATATGTAATAAGATTTATTGACCTTGAGATGTTTTAAGTTTAATGTGTGATATTGCAAACAGGATAATAAAACTGAGTCTGAATAGTGGGTTTTCCTGACTCAAAGTAGGGCAAGGTGAGCAAGATGAACTGTGAACTTTTGTAAACATTACCAATCTCTTGTGAGATATTGTGATGAGGTCTGCGAGGCAATGAACTTGTAGTTTGATCTATTTTTGTCAACATTGTAAATTATTAATAGTAATTTTGAAGTCCTGAAGAAAGAAGATATATTCGTCAAAAGCTAAACAATGGAATTTAGTGATTTCTTTTAATTTGGCCATATCGATGATTTTTAAAATGATGATATTATATTGAAATAACTTGATGGTTTCGTCTTTTAGGCATGTTTGAATATTTTGCCATCTTCAGTAGTTAACCTGTACAATATTTTTCTAATTGTGTTGGTTTATTTTATTATTTTACATATTTGTAAGTTTATAGAAAGATACATTGACACAATTCATAACATACTGAAAATATAAAACTTCACATCACGATAATGCTGACTTAGGAAAAAAAATGGTACCTGCTTCTGACTCGAGGATGTCTGTCGTGTAGATTCGCCAATCGTGTTCAGTAGCCAACCTTTTCTTCGCATGATAAAGGTCTGTGTAAAAAACAGCATCAGAGGCTGAGCTGCTTCCAAACCACTCAATAAGGATACGACCACTAATGTCGTTTTCTCCAGCAAAGTGTGCTTCCGCAACTTTAACACTGCTGTTTCCACTTGCCTTTAAAAATTCCAATGTTAGATAATTCATTATTTTTTGAAAATCTAATCAAGTTTTACCACAATCGTTGCACAAGCCCGTTGACCAGCGGAAGACTGAAGAAGAAGAGATCTTGACCAGATACCGCTCTTTCCTGTCAACGGTACCTGATCATTACGTGTTGATATTGATTGACTGATGTTTGTAAGCTCGCCGAACATAGATGTGAGATCTAGAATACTGATTTCTTTTTCGGTCAGAGGTTGAAGAATAAATTAGGTATTATTTATTTTTTTTAAAACTCACACAGGGCCAAGTCTGCTTTCTTGGCATCTGTTTTCAAGTTGGGAATAATCAATCGGGAGCTCCCTTACACTCCATTTCCAGCTGGAATGCGTATCCAGTTTCATTCCAATGTGTATATTTCCGCTTTCTTCAGAGAATGTGACAAACCCGTGCAAACCATTTTCAGATAAATGCGCTGTAAGTTCTACTGACTGACTAGAATCGTATAAAAATAGTAAAACGAGTCCTGAAAAATAAATATAATTGCTGTAGTAAAGTAATGGCTATCGCAAGGTGAGTTTGACAATTTGACATTGCGTTGACCTCAAATTATAATCTGTGCCAACAAGTGGGCAAATGACAATGAAATGCTTTCCCAATGTTTCATATCTTACTTGAACTGAAATTACTTAAGGTCACAATATGATTCATAGTGGTTTAGGTATATATGATTAAATTAATTATTAAATTCAAAGGTTAGTATCAACAGTTAAGAATATATAACATATATACAAGTATACAAAGTACAAAAATAGGGATAAATTAAAGTTGTACAAGGCAGGGATGAGTCAAGCCTGAGGTTTATATTTGAGGTATAATTTTGTAAATTTTAAACGGTCCAAGACAATAAAGGATCAAAACAGGTAGTATAAATTTATATCATTTGGATATGTATTAAATAATAAAATGACTAAACTTTAGCATATTTATTGATAGAATGATGATAGAAATTAATGTTTAATGTTAAAGATAAGCAGTTGTTCAATTAATTCAATTCAATAACGGATCTTAAATTATAGAAATCTTGCATTTCTTTTGAAAATTGAAACTGTGGGCAAACAGAAACTTCCTGATGTGCCCAAAAACAATTCTTACATCAGACCTACTTGCTTTTTTTTATGGAAACCAAGGGAAGAATACTCAAGAATATGGGCAGAACTATCGACCCACATGCCTTTTGGCTAAAGTGCAAACTATATATTTTTAAATGGAGACAATTGACAATCTAGCCATTTCAATCTCCAATGCACAGTTAATCTCACTTACTCTACTAACTCATTCACAATAAATAATTATTAAATGTAGTGAAATACCCTCATTTCACTTAAAAATAAAACAGGGGATCCAACAACCTACTCTCATCTGTTTTTATTTTGGGTGCCATGCCTACTAGCTCCCTATAAGGGGACAAGGCCCGGACACTCCTTGACCAAGTGTGGCACACTGAGTGGTCACTTTTCTTTACAAGTAGAACACCTGCAAGCGGTTTGTCCTAAAAGCAATTGTCCGTGTATCAATTGAGTATGGCCTATCCTGAAAAGAGTGAGCATGATCCCTATTCGTTTCAGACTCTTGGGAGGGGGGCATGCTTTTTACACCCAAGAACTTCTTGGACAATCCACCCCACAGAAGCTGACAATATTCTTTCATTGCATTCTTTAATACTCAAACTTTAATACTAAGCCAGCTGGATTGCAGTGGTTCCTTCTGGAGATGTCCCAGCTTTTGCTGCCTTGTCTGCACGTTTGTGTCTAACCCATCAAGTCCAAGTACCCAAATGTCTACCACAGTTTTTACGAGGCGCTCAAGCCCAGCATATCTCTCTAGCAACCATATGCATGATGAAAGAGTCATCAAGAATCTGCCACAGATAGCCAGAAACCACTAGTGTAACTATGTAGCAAAGTATTGTTATTTTCACTATCGGCTTATGATAAATAGAATTTTTTTATTTTAGTGGAATCAAAAGCGATATTAATTGACATTTTAAAAATATAATTAGTTATAATTCCAGATTTTAAAATAAAATTCATTATGCTAATTTGATTCTTAAACTATTCAGTTAGCTAAATTATATCAATCAAGAAATAAAACAATTAAATACTATAAATGATTTACTGTAGAAAAAATATTGTGCAGCATTGAATAAAATGTACTTGGCAATCAATCAAAATAGGCAAAAAGAAGATAATTTGATGTTAAGAAAATGATAACATAGACTAGTTATTTGTGCTAATACACAACTGAAAGAAAAGTAATCAATTATAAATAAACTTATAACAACTTGATTTTAAGTTATATAAATCTTTTATTCTTTATCAAGAAGATATAACTTTATGTTGTGAAATAACTTTAAAATTAAAAAGCCAGTGGTTTTGTTTAGGGTTTATCAACTTCCTTAATTATCCAATCAGTCAAATTTCCAAAGAAAATCATGTAGTATATTATTTTGTAATCAAAATGTTAACATACAAAAACAAAAAAATCCTGTCTAGTTCAATTTTTTCTATGTTGGTATAAAATTAATCTGTATTTTAGATGAATTATTTTTACATGAATCATCAGGCTTTTGGACTCTTTGGGTTGAATTATTTTCAAAATTGGCGCATTCTAATCCTATCTTACCGACAAGAGTAATTTCCATTTTGGCGTATTCGTGGTCGCAATTACACGACTATCTACATTATTGCTTATGACACATTGTTAACTGAATAGGTGAGACCTCATATTGAGTACACCTGGCAAGGTATCAGAGTGGAAGGAGGAAAAGTGAAAGTCCTTTCCTGCTGAAGAAAGTCCTAGAAGGAGACCTTGGGATCACTGTGCTGCTATCTTTTGAATCAATGCAACAGGAAGATTGTTGGACTAAAAGCTACAAAAAAACAAATAAACTTTATAGCTAACATAAGTGTTTTAAGATTTAAAGTCTATTATTATAAAGCTTAAATAGAAACAAAGCAATATGCTGCATCATTGTCTTGCATCAGTTTATTTTTGTATTTGCTATAACTGATGCTAACAAAGCTTTCAAGTTTTGAGAGATGAAAGTGTGAAATAAAAAATAGTTTTTACACTAAAGTCACAAAGTAAAACTGATATTAAAACCAGTTGCTTTTCATTTTGGATAGATAGTAAACAGTTACAATTAATATTAATTGTTTAAGAATTTAAAATTGAAAAGAGAAGTTTTTAACAAAGAAAAAACTAATAAAGTATAAAAAAAGGAGTACAATCATGATAATCCAAAGTGGTTGAACAACTTTTTTTGTAATTAAATAACAGAAATAAAAATTATGTTCTGGAAGAAATGTAAATAAAACCAATTAACAAACTAAAATATTACAATAAAGCTTTTAGAAATAAAATAAAGAAAAAGAACCTAGTAATAATTGAATTCTCTAAATTAAAGTAATAATTTAATGTCTTTACTGCCAGTTGTTTTAACAAATATGATCAGATCCTTCCAGCATTTAACATTTAAATATTCTACGAATTTGTTTTCAGTTAGAACAATTTAAGTGTCTAACTTTTATTTTAATTAATTAAGTTTTTAGTTGAGATGAAAAAAAGTTAATGGCACGAGAGGGATTCGAACCCACGACCTTCGGCTAGATACACCGCTGCTCTACCACCTGAGCTATTGTGACCTCGATCCGCTCGGACATCAACTCCCCATCTCAACCCCACCTTATGATTTTTCCCTCCTTTTGCCATTTTTCAATGATTTAAAGTATTTAAGTCTGAATTTGGTAAGAATTGGACAGACTCCTCCATGTCCTTCAGGTTGCACATAATTGATCTGTGTACCTATATTTGTTTAGATAAAACAGTATTTATCTAGATTTAATAATCCATCTAATTAAATTTGTATATCTATTATTATTTACAAACCAATTTAACAATATAGTCACTGAATAGTGATAATTTGTTGCCTGTGAGGTGATGAAGTTTGGCCATTTCGGATCATCCTGATCTACCTAGTCTTGCCTGCCATGGACTGTGTGTTTCAGCTTCTTGCCATCTTCAGTTCTTTAATGAAATGGTTTGGTCAGAATTTTTTATTTTCAACAAGAAATGGTAGAATAGATTCGCTATTGAAGAGTGGGAGAAGCCGAAATGCATATATCACTCATTCATTCACACATTCCCGGAATAATTGATATTCTTCGGGGTAATTGGGAATAAGCCCTTCCAATCATGCTAAAAAATTACATATACACAGACAAATCCTTCGCACTACCCCAGAGTACTCGTATTTGGGGGATAACCGCTCTATTCATGCAAATAAATACATTCATTCTAATAAATACCAGATATCAGGTATATGAAGGTACTAAGATCATACACACAATTAAAAATATTTATGGCCCTAAGATATTGAAACAGCAATATGTGCCTGTTGCTGTGCTTCAAGGTTGTGCACAGGCCATTTGGGATGTATTTCTTTGCTGACTAAGGTATCGGTGTGTGATCTTGATATGATCTATATGCAGCCAAATATTAGCTAACTGTCTTAATTGAATATTATCCAATTGATTTTAATTGAATATTTTCTTATTGATTTTCATGCCAGGCGCACTGGAGGCAATTCCTGCATGGTCGGTAAAGTCCTGAGTCGTTTCGGAGTGCATTAGAGCCCTGACAGACATTGGATCAAATAACAAAATTACCCTGGTGCCAGGGCAGAGGGGCAACGGAGAAGCTTATAAATTGGCTAAATTGGATAAATCAAGGAAAGATCAATGAGGACACCTATTGGCCCTGAACCCTTTTGTGGCTTACCAAACTGCCAAAAACGCTGAGAATAATAAGTTTTTCACTCAATGGATTGTAGCTCAGGACAGAAGCATGTGAAAAAATATATCAAAGGACCATCACAGAAACTAAATCTAGGATGTGCTAGGACTGGAATAATAGTTGGACTACTAACTGTACACTGCAGACTACAGAGGCTTATGTATAGACTCGGAGTGGCAGAAACAAGCCTGTGCAGATATTGCCAAGAAGAAGAAGAAACAGCAGAACTACATGCCCTCTGTTGGTGTGAAGGCCTATGTAGATTGAGATTCCTAATCTGGGGAGAGGAAAAGCAAGGGCCTGAAGGATGCACACGGGAGCACTTGAAAAAACTTTGGGATCTGGTAAAAAGCCTCAAGCTAAATGAGGAACTCTAGATAAAAAAAAACTGGAAATACATAGTAGACCAATTCTAGTCATGGTGTATAGGTCGTAAAGAGGCCTGCTCCTATATAATCTAATCTAATCAATCTAATCTATTGATTTTCATTAATTTTTTTATTATTGTCTTAAATTGAATATTTTCTAATTGATTTGAATTGAATAATTTATAATTGATTAAAAATGATCTAATTGATTTTAATTGAATATTTTCTAATTGATTAAAAATGATCTAATTGATTTTAATTGAATATTTTCTAATTGTTTTAAAATGATCTAATTGATTTTAATTGAATATTTTCTTATAGATTTTCATTAATTTTTTATTGTTTTTAAATCGAATATTTTCTAATTGATTTAAAATGATCTAATTGATTTTAATTGAATATTTTCTAATTGATTGAAAATTATCTAATTGATTTTAACTGATTATTTTCTTACAGATTTTCATTAATTTTTTATTGTTTTTAAATCGAATATTTTCTAATTGATTGAAAATGATCAAATTGATATCAAATTAATCTTACAATTAATTTTAATTGAAAATTATGTAATTGATTTCTTATTGTTTTTCATTATTTTTTGTTATTGTTTTAAACTGAATATTTTCTAATTGATTTAAAATAATCTAATTGATTTTAATTAAATATTTTGCAAATTATTTAAATTGTTTTTAATTTAATATTTTCTAATTGATTTATATTATCAAATTGATTTTAAGAGAATATTTTCTAATTGATTTATATTACCTTTTTATTATTGTTCTTAAATTAAATATTTTCTAATTAATTTAACATTATTTAATTGAATGTATTTCAATTGATTTAACACTAAATTATTTTTAATTGATTGTTTTCTAATTGATTTAATATTTCCTGATTATTAATCTACAGTCCTTCTTTTATTTATCTTTATACAATTTGAGAAAACCAAATTCAAAATTTATTCTCTGTAAAAGAATGTCGATTTTATTCTTAAATGATTGATAACCAATATTTTTTATCTTTCAATTAATTTAATATTTTCTAATTGATTGTTAGTTATATATTTTTGTTTAAAGATTCAATTATTTTGTATTAAACGTGTTCCTTTATCTAAATCCAAAATTTTGTTATTAGTTATTACTTGTCAAGTTATTTTTTAAAATTATTACTCTTCTTTATTTGGTTGTCTTTTCTTCGACGGTAGATTGTCCAAATAAATAATGAACTGCTTCAACCAATGTATTTATTGTTACCGATGCATTTCTGGGCCAATTTGGCTCCTCCTTCAGAACTAAAATATTATTTCATTAAATAAAAACAATTCTGTAAAAACAATAAAAATATAAAAACAATGTAATGTTATCAGGTTTTCATTGTTTTTACTGATTTTTTAATTATTTAATGAATAATATTTTATATGTTGTATGTAGCCAGATTGGCTCCAAAATGCATCATCACAAATAAATAAATTAGTTCAACCAGTCTGCTATTTATTTATTATCTTTTTATTGTAGGAGTTTTTGCTTTTAAATTTTGCATGAATTTCTTTGATTTATGTGATTTAACAGCAAAAATAAGGCAATATGTAGTTTTTGTTTTTCTTTTTTTTAAATATTAGGATTTAAAAAAAAAATGATTTACAAATTTTACTTTGAGTTTTTGCCAAACATTTTGTCTGAATATTTTTTTGTTTCTTTCTTAGTAGTTTCTTTTCTATATCTATTTGTATTAGCTAAAACTACATTTGAACTTTCTGATTTTTTTTTTTTTTTTAAATCGCAATTATAGTTTAATCTAGTGGTTAATCATGATTTAACTATTTTCGATTTATTGCTTTCGTGTACTCATGAGTATCACTCATCAGTATCGATTGCTGATGAACATCACAGGGAATACTCACAGACAAACACGTGCTGATTTCGGCCCGCACTTCCCAAGGGTTATCCCACACAGTAAATAATACTGTAAATGTTCTTGTCTTTTGGTGGTTTGCTGAATACCATTTTTTAGCCGAAATGGCAATTAAAATGAAAGCTAAAAAGAAAAACAATCATAATTCAAACTCAGGGATTACAACAAGAAGGAGAGGTGGAGGCACATTAATAGAAAGCAGACCAGTTTTCTCATCAGACTCAAAGTATGTTTATAAATTTTTTTTTAAAAAGATGAATTAGTTTAAATTGTTCAATTTACCTGATTTAGGCATGTTTACCTGAACTGCGGCTGGGGTGTGAAAGTCTTTTCTGTCGTAACAGGTGAGTGTGTAAAAGCGCTTGAGGTCGAAAATAATGAAGGAAGAGTGAAGGCTGTCTTGTACTATGACGGTCAAGCTGGTGCTGTCACTTCCGATGGAAAAGTCACCTTCTGGAAGGCAAGCTCGTCAAAGGTTTCTTTTTCCTACGTACGTACGATGCATTAAATCAATACAGTTCGGTTTGTTTATTTATTAATTTTTTTAATTGATTACAGAATCTGCAAGTCAAAGATGATTATACCGTAGCGAATGCCTTTTTGGTCCGATCATTGCAAGACGAGATGTGTGAAGATATGTGTGTTCTGTTTAGCAAAAATAAAGCCAGAGTTAAGACTTCAGTTAAATTCTACAATCCGAGTGATGGAACACTGAAAAACCACCCTCTTAACAAGCTCATGTCAGTTATACACTTTTTTTGGCCAAGATTATTTTTAATAACGATTTGAATTGCAGGATGACTGATTCTGTTTCGCCGCATTGCATCTCTTACGGAGGTTCTGAAAAATGGCCGTTTATTGCTTCAATCAGTAGCAATACTGTAAATATTTATCCATTAAATGGACAACAACCCATATTAGGGTTAGTATTTTTTAAATTATTTCTCTACTTGGACATTAATTGCAAGAGTATTTGCATGTGTGAATCTGCTTGGATCTCACAGGAAGGCAAGACGATCAAACATGCGCTTTTTTCAGTTTAAATTCAAAGATTTTCTAGTTTGATGTTAACCTTTTCATGATAGATTTTTGAATGCTAAAACACAAGAAAAATACAAGAGGCAAAAAATAAGAAGCAATAGGGTAGAGGGTTGGGAAGGGCAGTGGCGAGAATTAAACAAAAGTGGGGCATCTCATTGAGAACTATATGTAGTTGAATTCCCTGAAAAAGCCTGAATGGTTTATTGATGAAGACGTCAGAGAAGGAAGAGTGTCAGAGCCTATTACACATTGGATACAACATCAGCCCAGAAGATGCCATGAGGTTCAGCTATAACCCTTAAAATACAAAAAAAAAAACAAAAAAAAAACGAGTTAACTTAGTTACTAGTTAACAGAGCTTGACAATGTTTATGTTGAATGAGATATCTCATTATGTGTCCTGAAAATGTTAACTGAGGAGTACATAACATGTGTGAGCACTCAAATATGCAAGCAACAGGTGTGAGGAACTTTCCCGTTTCATTTCAAAGGTTCTTAGCATCCTAACGTTTATTTTAGGTTTTTTTTTTTTTTAACTTAGCAGTAAGATCATTTTATCTTTTGATCTCAATGATTTAAACTAGGATTTGGTATTAATTAGTACTAAAAACTATAATTATTGTGTGTGTGCTGATTAGGACGTTAATCGATAATTATTCAGAAATCGTGAGATGCGGTCTAGTGTGATGTAGGTTTCAGAAAAACATTTTCTTTATCGTGCCAACGTTTCGATCTTTATTGAGGTCATCTTCTCACACGACACGCAAGAATGGCACAATTACACAGAAGACAAACACTTTGAGCCCTGAAGATGATTGGCACGATAAAGAAAATGTTTTTCTGAAATGTACATCACACCAGACCGCATCTCACGATTTCTGAATAATTATAATTATTGCCTTAATTTTAAAAATTTAAAAGTGTTAAATTGTGAAATTTACTCTTGGGTATGCTGGGTGTTGAAACTGTAGTTTGGTTTGATTTTATTGATCATTTTGGTCTGCTCTCTCTGTTTTTGTCTGTCAGACGTGTTTCAGTCTCTCACCATCATCGGTTGGCCTGTAATAGTATTTCTTGTGTGGGAGATAAGCGAAAACTCGTCTGATTTGCCAAAACTGATGATAGGCAGACAAAAATTATTGAAATGACCAAACTAGTTTAAATGTGTCTTTAAATGGTACAACTATTGTTTTTAAAAATTTATTATTTTTCATAATCATTTAATTACAATTACAGGATCTCCCCAATAGCAGGGAGAAAATGGACTTGTGTCAGGTGCCATCCTTGTGACGATATTCTTGCTGCAGGAGATGATCTTGGACGAGTCATCCTCATGAGGTCCACTCTGCCGAAAGGCGGCCCAAAATCGGTTTATCACTGGCACACTTTACCTTGCAATGAGATTGCTTTCACTCCAGCAGGTATGGAAATTAATATGTAATTTCAATCAAGTTTTTTCATGTCTTTATTAATGTACAAATAATTTGCTTATAGGTTCTTCGATGTACACCGGTGGTGGAGAAAATGTACTTGTTAAATGGAACATAGAAAACCCTTATATGCGAAATTACCTGCCTCGCCTCTCCTCCCACATTGTGTACATTTCTGTGTCTCATGACAATCAACTGGTTGCACTCGCAACCCTGGACAATGGTTATTTATTAAAATTATTTATTTGTTTTGTAATAATTATCTGAGATTTTTAATTTCGGACAGGTGTGCAAATTGTAAGCTCGACAAATAAACTGCAGTGTGTCCTGCAGCAGCTCTCCTGGTCTATTCTGCCTTCAAACTGGCTCAAACCTTTTCCAGCCGGTCTCGTGTATGACCCAAGGTCCCAGTCAATTTTCTTAAACGGGAGGCCAGGTCATCTTCAGCTATACTCACCTCAGTCTGAAACCCTTGTTCAGATTGTAATTGTCTTAAAATTTATGTTATTTTTTTATTGACCTTGCTTGATGCCAATTTGTATAATTTGTTTTAGATTGACGTGACTATGCATAATTATTTGACTCAAGAAAGAAACAAGTTAATTGTCAACACTGAAGTAATAAAATGTGCTTTGAGTGACGATGGTGTTTGGCTTGCTACAGTTGAAATGAGGGAAGACAAGGATGTTGCGACTGAAATAAGAATGAAACTATGGCAATATTTATTAGCTAAAAAATGGTAATTTGAATATTATTTATTAAATATTTATTTGTTATATTGAAGCTAGTTTTTTTTTCTTCAGTTTTTCATTAAATTCGTCAATAGAATTGCCTCATGAGGTTTCCCTTAATGCACTAATTTTTAAACCCGGTTTAAACCTTTTAACGCAAAATGACTCAGATCAGCCGCTTGATTATATGGTTGTTACCACAGGCGGAGACAAAAAAGCACGTATTTGGGCTCCAAATCCGCTGGACAGCGTGTACCGTAAGTCTCAAGCACTCGCACAGTGGTTAAAATTTATTAAAGTTTATAAATGTTTTGTTTTAAGGGAAAGGAGTAATTTGGGAATGTATAAACACATGCCATTACCGTGAAATGGACTGTGGCCCTTGCAGTTTCTCTTACGACGGATCACTCCTTGCTGTTGCTTTTGGTACTTCGCTTACACTGTGGGACGTTGATAATATCGCTCTGAAGGAATCGCTTTCTCGAGGATCTGAACGTATAAAGTTAGCATTTTGATGGATAAGTTTTTTTACAGCTATTTTGACTCTTTTAAATCCTAGGTTTGTTGAATTTGGACGAAGAGACTGCTGCCATTTAGTAATGTCTACAACCCAAACTGAGGTCTCCGTATGGGATTTACTCACGCTTTCTCTCACTTGGAGTTTAAAGTTGAATGTCGATTTCCTTATTCCTGATCCTTTTTCAAATAACATGGCTATTTTCACAGAAGACAACAAATGTAAATAAAAATAAATAATTTAAAAAAATGTGCTTTTAAAAAATACAAAATTTTTTAGTGTTCATCTTTCATCCAACAAAAAATGAGGCTGTTTATGTAAATGAGGAGCTGTGCACATTGGGTACAAAAGCAGCAGCTGGTGTGTTTTTACCGAGAGACCTACTGAGAACTGAGGGAGCATCATGGCTTTCAAACTCACAACTTTTCTACATCGACACCAACCAAGTAAGTAAAGTTGTCTAAAAAATAAATGGTAATTTTATTTTCAATTTCTGATTTTTTTTTAAATTTTATTTTTAAGGAGATGCATGCCTTTGAGTTCGAAAAAGAGTATGAATATTCTGTAGGAGGAGCTCAACACTTTTCACTGGATGACAAGACTGAGTCTCTGACTCCGTTTGGGTGTTTATTGGCCAGTCAGCAGAAGACGACAGCCGTGCAGCGGAAAGCGTCTCATGCTCCTGGTGGGAGGACATTTGCCAGCAGTGCAGCCATAAATCAGGTCGGTGTTCTTTATTATTTTTTATTTTCAAAAACATAGCCATCATCAGGCTTCTGTGTAATTTATTTATAGATTTGTTTTTAAATTGAAATTATTTGCGTGCACTTGTCTAATAGTGAAGTAGGTAAGCAAAGTAATTCCTGTCCTACAGGAGGGTTTAGCATCCACCTACATGTTGGATGTTGCATATGAGGGCTTAGAACCACTTTGCAATACTTTTGCCAAATTATTTTCACTTATAAGGTATAAGCGGTTTGAAATCAGAACCTCTAGCAATGCTTAATGTAATATACTTTCTATAATATATTTTTAAATGTATATATCATGAAAGGAGTGAAACTTGGCAAGAAAAATGTATGTATCATTGCTATTTTTGGTCTTTCAGATGATTTTTGTCATCTTTAGTGGTTTGTCTGTGCTAATTTATCAATTGTGTCCTTTTATCGTATATTTTACAAAACTTACGCAAGGTCAGGAATGACAAAATATACTAATTTTATTACAATTAATTAAGGTTTTTAGTTGAGATAAAAAAGTCAATGGCATGAGCAGGATTCGAACCCACAATCTTCAGCTAGATACGCCGCTGCTCTACCACTTGAGCTATCGTGACCTCAATCCACTCGGACACTAACTTCCCATCTCAACCCCACCTTTTGAATTTTCCCTCCTTTTTGCCATTTTTCCATTTTTGCCATCCCGCTCGTGCCATTAACTTTTTTATCTCAACTAAAAACGATAATTAACTGTAATATATTAATCGGTCAAGCGGACCACGAAATTAGTGAATTTAAATAATACTAATTTTACTTAGTGTGAGGGAGGACCTTTCTTGATGTGCCACAATCATTTGAACGCGTGTGACATGAAGGTGTCCTGCACAAATAAAAGCACATTTTTCCAGCTACTCTAAACCTAATTCTTTGTTCCTACCTAACCAAACGATTCCTCAGAGTCCACCAAGGATTTACTCCAGCAATTGTCCTCTGAAAATGGGAGTACCACAGGGAAACGCACTTAGACTGATCCTTTACCTACCTAACCGCATATATCCTGATTTAAGCCTTCAACATCCTTGCATAACTTGCCGACCAAATAGCTGTTCTTTCTCCTCTGATGCTGATTCCACAATTGTTTTAGAGGAGTTCCAGACTCATGTCCTGCAAATAACCGAATGGAGCAAACACTGGCATATAAAAATGAAATAAAAGCACCCGTGTATCATTCACTATTCGAAGCAAAAACCCATGCAATATTCTTCAATAATACTCCCATCCCAAAATGTGTCTACTGCCTTGGGTTCCATCTAAACTCAAGACTAACCTGGAAACACATGACTAAAATGACAGGAATAAAACAAATGTAACAACGACTAAGACTACTGGCATGCAATTCTAAAGTTTCATAAAAAAACACTGACAATCCTTAAATAGACCTGAGACAATACTAAAACCAACCTGGGCAGTGGATAGAACTGCCACTAAACCTTCCAACATTCAAAGAATACAGTCTTTTCAATCGAAAGTCGTCAGAACCATAGTCAACATTCCTTCCAACATCCCCCTTCCTTCACAATGACCTCAAAATCTCTCTTGTGCAAAAAATAATCCTCAAACATTTTCCACTTTCCACAACTCTTCTCACCCTAATCGAGGTAGATGCCCAATCCTTATCCAGCCTACTAACGAGGATTATTCCTCGCATATTTGTGCAAATAACAATAGTTGTAAACTCCCCTCATGACACATAATCTATGCCATTTGTAAAAAAAAAATTGTAAATTCAGCTCATTACATAACGTAAATAAGGCACAGATTGTAATAAATACATTAAAATTTTTTTATTGAATTTGGTTAAATATTGAAACATGTCTGATAGACAAAACAAGCATGGCCTGGGAGAAAATTGGAAATAGCTGTGTAGACAAAATTTAAGAAATTAATATACAGACGCACCAGATCAGGTAATACACAAACACGCACATGTATGTAGTGCTAAATAAACCTGGATAAGGGTGAAAGGACGTTAAGGGTAGTTTGGTGCTTCTAATATAATATTGGTCTGCTTTAATAATAATTTTAGTTAATATCAGCCACTGAAGATGGTGAGAAGCCGAAATGCATCTGAGAGGCCAAAAGAGTGGGAGTGTGCAAATTAAATTGATCATTAATGGCCAAATTTAGAATATTAACATGAAACTGGTTTTCCTTTAAAGTAAGTAAAGAAATTCCTGTCATACAAGAGAAATAAGCCCGACTACCATTGGGTGTCGCAGTCAAGGGGTCAAACCACTTTACAATACTTTCTCCATATTATTCATACTTAAAAATCCATGGGCTATAACAGGTTTTGAACCCAAGACCACTTGCATGGCATTACGTTGGACGCCCTACCCACAGCCACTGCAGTCCCCTTGATTTTTCTTTATTAAATCTAACTTCAATGGTTATAATGAAACATGAGATGTTGGACCTACATGATGCAGAAAAAAATTGTTTAGGAAATGATCAAATATAGGCAGTAGAGTTTGAATTGTACAAGGCCAAAAATATCTGTCCTCTAATACTATTTCCATAGAAAAAAATCTTCGCCAATCAGAATGTGTATAGATTTGATTGACTATTGGATTACCGGTGTTCAGATTATCAGGACTCCAATGTACATAAAAAAAATTATTATACTTCAATGGTACTAAAACTAAATATTGTGTTTATTGCATAAATCCAACAATTATATGATTTTGTTATAATAAATTGTTCAGGTCATATTTCGTCAGAAATGAACAGAATTTGGTCTCCTTTTTATTTTTGGTTCATATACATAGTAAGCTTACACATTTTAAAAACACATTGCTTATCATATAAATAAAGTTTCACAAATTAATAATAAGAAAAGTTTTCACTAGAAATATTAAAAATTAAAATAACAAAACAAAAAAAGGCTATTTACATTTTTTTTCTAAATTTTTTCTTTTTTTAAGTATATTTTGTCTGGTCCCAGGAATGCATTTAGGGATATATGTTTTAAAGATATTATGATTTATTTAATGTTCTTCAATAGCTGGCAATTTACCATGATATTTCTGTCTTCAACTTCAAGTAGAAACCATGCGAAAAACTATCATGCACTGTCATAATTTAAATTAACAATAAATTTAAGTATGCAGCTTTACTGTTCAGTTCAACGCTTTTTAATTATTTATAGCTATGATATTTCATTTGAAAGTTATAGTGATAAATATATAATATACTTTTTAAATCCTACAGCAAGTCGTTGGTTAACATACCAAATTGTGCAATGCATTATCGTTATAACTTGCAATTAACAATACATCTTTAAAGGCAATTTATCTTAAATATTACTATAATTTCAGCCTTAATGTAACACTAGAGTGTTGTCTCTCTTTCTTCTTATGACCCTGTAACATTGAGATCAACCGGGACCTTTAGGGGAAAAAAACTGTACTTCTTTTCATCTTGTTCTCTTTTATCTGTGTCTTCTAACTCCATACCTGAAAACAAAATGTACACATCAATATTTGATATTTAAGGCTAAAATTGATTGACATTAAGTGTGTAACATATTATGAAAAAATTGGTAAAAGTAATAAATTTAAGTATTTAGTAAAAATAAAAGAAATATGTGTAGCTGGCATTCAAACGTACTACATGCATTGATATAAAAAAATCTATTACATTTGGGATAATTAATTCTGATACTTAAAAAAAAAAAAAAAAAAAAAAAAAATCAATGAGGGTATTTCAAGTACAAGGTTATTTATTGAACCGCTCAGGGTGCTGGTGCTTTTGAAAAAAAGCCCATTTGTAAGTATGTTGGGTTCGAATTCAGGACCACTGGATTTGACCTCGTGACCTTTACCTTACAATTATGAGCGCTGTGTCGTTTTAACAGTTGCGGCCACCGACGACCCTTTTGAGACAATTCATACAAAAGATGAAGATATATTTAGCTAATTAATGCAAAATTAACTTGGGAGGAGGGGGTAAACATGGAATTAATGATTGATACGTTTTTATATATATTAAAATAACTTGAAAATATTTAAATGAAGTTTTTAAAAATATTTTCTTTGGATGGTGGCAAAAATAAATCAACTTTTGGCTTAACATATTTAGCCGTAGTTTATTTTTTATTAAACCGAGTTCTGTACAGTTTGTTTCAGTTTTGAGTTTAAACCATACATGTAGTCATAAATGACCATATTAATTATTTTAATTAGTATACTTTTTGTGTAAAGTGTTGGTTGAGATGAAAAAGCTAGTATCACGAATGGGATTGAGGTTTTTTGAGGCTAGATTTGAAGATAATGCCCTTGGTATTTTGGACTATGTGAGTGCCCATTTTACTTACCTGAAATTGAAATATCTCGTATGATGTGGAATATTAACCGACCAAGTAAATGTGGAATAGAGCGGAAAAGAATTCCTGTACCTAGAATTGAACAGATATAAACTTGATACCAAGTGTGCACATGGACTCCCGGTTTTTTTTTTGTGAGTGTGTGAAAACAATGTCAACTTTTGCGCATTTCAACCAATTTAAGTGCAGTTAAAGCATGTGGTGTTTTAATACTGCGAAGCATTGTTGGTTTGTCTGCGAGTTGTTGAAGCATTTGTCAAAAGTTTGATCTTTCAGACTCAACCTAATCGGATTAGGATGATCATGTTTGATCAAACTTCGGACAAACTGTTTTCCTTCAATAATTAGATTTTACCTTCGACATCTCCTGATCATGTCAAATTTCCTGAACCTAAGACAATGGGTCTGTGGCGTTTGCCTCATTTCAGTTGCAATCTGTAAAAACAATAAAATAAATAAAAGTAAAAAAAAAAAATAAAAAAATATATAATTTGACATTTGTGAATAGATCTCATAGAATATATTAAAATACAGTATGCATCCTTTGCAATTAAAGATGTTTTCAAATTTTAAATGAATAGTACTTGCTCATAACACACTAGGGATTTAAAGAGAATTTA